TGGTCTTTAGGGTAGTGCAGTGTTGTGAAAAGCATTCATTGGGGTGGTCTTTAGGGTAGTGCAGTGTTGTGAAAAGCATTCATTGGGGTGGTCTTTAGGGTAGTGCAGTGTTGTGAAAAGCATTCATTGGGGTGGTCTTTAGGGTAGTGCAGTGTTGTGAAAAGCATTCATTGGGGGGGTGGTCTTTAGGGTAGTGCAGTGTTGTGAAAAGCATTCATTGGGGTGGTCTTTAGGGTAGTGCAGTGTTGTGAAAAGCATTCATTGGGGTGGTCTTTAGGGTAGTGCAGTGTTGTGAAAAGCATTCATTGGGGTGGTCTTTAGGGTAGTGCAGTGTTGTGAAAAGCATTCATTGGGGGGGTGGTCTTTAGGGTAGTGCAGTGTTGTGAAAAGCATTCATTGGGGTGGTCTTTAGGGTAGTGCAGTGTTGTGAAAAGCATTCATTGGGGTGGTCTTTAGGGTAGTGCAGTGTTGTGAAAAGCATTCATTGGGGTGGTCTTTAGGGTAGTGCAGTGTTGTGAAAAGCATTCATTGGGGTGGTCTTTAGGGTAGTGCAGTGTTGTGAAAAGCATTCATTGGGGGGTGGTCTTTAGGGTAGTGCAGTGTTGTGAAAAGCATTGGTTGTGCAGGATCTTAGAACATCACACTCTTTCACTCACTCACTCACTCACTCACGTCTTTTTGAAATGCCAAATGAGATCTGTGTACTGACACCTTAAATTCCTATCTGCATTCATGAAGTTATCTACCCTTAGTTTCACTGACTTTCCCTGCAGTTTGAAAGTCCTCAATTTGATACCGTTGCTGCTCTTCATCATCTTCGTCCCACAGTGTTATGTTTTAACTGAACAGAGACAGTGAGCGCTCGCCTGGGTCAACCCATCAGCACCAGCACTTCAGGTCTATTTTTGGGCGGGGATGTTAGGATGAGCTCACACTTTAACTTAATTTGCCAGGCAATTTCCTCAGACGAGTCATACATATTCTGATGCAGATGGTCTAAGATTTGTACCTGTGGACCTTTTGCTCCATGTTGACTGAAGATGTTTATGGTTGATGTGGTTAGGAAGGCCGTTTTTATTTTAACCCGGACTTTGTATCACATTGATGGTCTTCCTATCTTTGCTTTGTCCCCCTAACTCTTGTACCTGTTTTGGTAGTGCTGTATAGTTCATAGGAATAGGAAGAATATAAATATTATTTTATTTTGAGTGTCCGCCCAATGAGATACCAGGCCACAGTTAAACCTGGAAACCTCACTCAGACACGGTGTACTTACTGAGCTGACCATGCATTGTTTTATCCCCCTGATGTTGTACAAGTCAGAGTAACAACAAGTACTATATTTTGGTTCTCGCCTTCCGTAATGAATATCGATTGATTATTGATAAATATTAGAGAAATAACTTTGAGCACATTTAGGCTTGGATTATAACATGCTTTAAGAGCAGCCCATGAATAAAGAACTAACTTTGTGTATTATCTGAGTAATTATAAACGTTATTTCATTACAATAGTCCATGTATGATATTATTGTTGAAACAGTTTTCATATCGACAATAATTAATAATGCTTCCCATCCATGATATTTCTGATTATCGATCTGTTTAGCCATCCCTAACAAGCAGAAGTACCATATTGTGGTTCAGCTCTCTGACCAGTATCCACTAGACCACTGCGTATTCAAGCTCACAAAATAGTCAGATTGGAAATTATAATTTCCTTAATGCCAACTTTGGAATTTGTAAATGAAATGCCCTTTGTAGAATTTTCAAGCTTAACCTAGGTTGTTCTGACATGACGACTGAGCTGTTGTTCGTTGGCCAGAGTTATGTCAGGGGCGGTGGGGTAGCCTAGTGGTTAAAGCGTTGGCTCGTCACGCCGAAGACCCGGGTTCGATTCCCAACATGGGTACAATGTGTGAAGCCCATTTCTGGTGTCCCCCGCCGTGATATTGTTGGAATATTGCTAAAAGCGGCGTCAAACTAAACTCAGTCAGTCAGACAGAGTTATGCCCCCTTCCCAAGACAGGATTTGTAAGATTTCCGGATTTATTATGACATTGATTTTTGGTCTATTGGCATCATACCTGTGTGTGAGGGTTTCACCAAAGTGGGAAACATCTTCAGCTGGTGTCACCCTATGCTTTGCATGTACATTAAGCTGACAAACTGTTCAAAGCAGCATTAAGCCCAGCACACTCAACAGTTAACTGCCATACAAGCTAGGGAATCTAATGAGTAGTTGGAATGTGGTATGTGACTGAAAACTACTTCTCCAAGTATGGAATTTTCATGTACAAGGGAAGCCAGTAAATGGCCCGAATTAGGAATATGCTTCATTCTGACCTTCTCAAATACAGACTGGGCAAGAATGCCGCTGGACTGCTGAACTCTGAATGTGTACAGCGATCCATCAGTTGGAGATTATTGATCAGGTCATTTACATAATAAATAGCAGAGAAGATTAAGCTGGACACAGATTCCTATAATAGGTGCTGGTCAATATGCTGGTTCCTGATGTATTGTGGAGCTAGTACTGGCCCATTTCCATCCCAAAATAAACTCATCTGTACTGGGTCTTGTGACCAGTCACATGCGTTCGATGATGTTGATGTTGTGGCTGTAAACATCAGGCTTGGATGGCGACGAGCATCATCTGTGGTGTACTGTTTGTCAATGTGGGAATTTGGCAGCAAAGTTGGTTTTATTTTCCTCCCTCTTGTTTTACTGGGGTATCGAAACGTGGATAACATTTGTAAACTAATGATAGATAATGGCTCATTCTCAACCTTCTGATATCTCATCACATCTTGTTGGCAGTTTATTATGAACTAGTGCAGCTGAAGGTGATTTCTCGCTTTGAAGCCTGGCAGATTAATATATATCAGTGAAATAGCATTTTCAGAATTGCTGACAGGTTATTTTCAGAAATGTGCTACTTTGTATCCATTTAGCAGTTGCAGGGCATGTTAGCATCTTTGACTGCACTAACCGCTAATCATTACGGACTGAAGTGTGGCACGGGTGGCCCAGATGTCTTACCTGGGCAGAGTTGTGTCCCTTGGGCATGGCAGGAAACCTATGAGTTTATGATACAAATCTGGTTTGCCCAAATTATGTTTCTAGGTTTGTCTTCATCATACCTGTGCTCGTGGGATTCACCAGCGTGGTAAAAGTCTCATGCCATCTTGCAAATTGTTTTTACTTACTTTGATGCTACTGGAATACTTCTCATTCAAAGTATCAATAAACCAAACTCGCTCACTCACTGACCAAATAACACAAGCCAGACTTCTTTCTGCAACCTGCCTGGTATTAGTTGTAAGGGCTGACTGAATATATGTATGACTCAGTAGGAGTTTTTGCCGTCTTTCCTCAGCATATTGGATTCTCTCTCGAACTGGGATTTTTTCTGTTAGACCAAACAGAACATGGTGCCTATGCACCACTCTTAAAACCTTGACCACCACTCTTAAAACCTTGACCACCCACCACAAGCCGGCTCCTGTGGAGAGCAGGGCGTTTGGAGAGATGCCAGCTGTCTGAATTGACCATCTCCTGCTACAGCTCTTCATGCAAGTGTAGTCCCGACCTGCTACTGCTGCAGAAGCTGCCTGTAGTCCTTGTGTCGGTAGAGGTACACGGTCCCAGGAATCAATATACCTCTTGCTTTGTGAATTCATGCCATCATACTTGCATGTTTTGTACCAAATTGTGCATAATTACTGCCTACATTAGAATCAGAGAGCCCATATCTGGTCAGGTGGTTTGAGTGACGGCACTTTAATGACAGTGTGGCCTGTGTTAGTTAGATAGTCCGGCTGTCAGCCGCAGCCAAGCTCATTATATCTGTACAGATGATGGTTGCTTGGCTGCTTGAGAATTGATGCTGCAGTAGTCAAGGCATGTCACAGTGTAATATATCACAGTTATCTTGCATTTCTTTATGTAACCATAGTTAATGAAGCATTGCTCCTATTTTCATGGCGTGGAAACCCACAAAGAGTAGCCAATTTTGAACTGTCAGATCTTGTTGTTGGAACGGTTTACTGGGGTAGCAATATAGGCCAGCGGAATGTCTGTTCAGCTCTTAATGGTTGATGGTTCGTGTTCAAGTCCAATTATTGGCGAAACCCATTCTTGGTGTCCCTCGTTTTTTAGCTGCAGTCTTAAAGATTAGTGAAGTAAATATTATTTGTCTTGAGCAAATAATTCAATCTTGTGGTTTTCTTTGAAGTTTTTCAGTTACTTTAAACATTGAAATTAATGTACAGCAAGTTTCTATCAGAGCATAACATAAGACTGACTGACTGAGTTTGGTTTTACGCCGCTTTTAGCAATATTCCAGCAACATCACGGCGGGGGACACCAGAAATGGGCTTCACACATTGTGCCCATGTGGGGACTCGAACCCGGGTCTTCGGCGTGACGAGCCAACGCTTTAACCATTAGGCTACCCCACCGCCCCGCATAACATAAGAACTTGTGGGAATTCCCGGTACTAATATGAGTTCCCAAGAGACTAAATGGATAAGGTGGCCAGGCTACGTGACTTGGTTGATTGCATGTCGTCATATCCCTGTCAATTTGACCGATGCTCATGATGTCAGTCACTGGATCATCTGGTCTTGACTTGAGAAATTACAGACAACCATCACATAGCAGAATAAATTACAGAGTTCATCATAAAACAACAAAGAATTAAACAGAACCTTTTGCATCTAAAAGGTTAACACTGTCTACAAACAAAATGAGGAATTTATTCAAATAAAACCTATGTGAAAAACCAAACCAAACCAAAAAACACAAACAATATGTGAGTTGTGAGCACAGATGACCATGGTTTTCCTGTACTGTTTTTCAGTGATGCTGTTTTGTTTTTTTCCTGGTATGCAGATTGTTGGTAGAATTAGAGTTATCTCCCTTTCACTATGAGTGTAATTGTCTGGTGAATAGTTTTTGTTTCAATTTCTCATTTATGATTTTCTCTTGTTATTTCAGATAAAAAGGTTTGAAAAATTAGAAACGGATGAAGAAAGGATCAAAACCGGCAAAGAGATCTATGACCAGTTTATTATGAAGGAGCTCTTATCACAGTCACATGTAAGTATACCAAATGTTGGTCATCTTATATATCATGTCAGTGTCTATGTTTTGCCCAAGCCGAACAACTGCAGTAAACTATGTCTATGGCCAACATATATGACGGATATAACAAACTGCTTTAAGTTGCATTCTGTAATGAAAGACAGTTATAATGGCGTTTTAACCAAAGTTCACTGTACATGTTTCCCAAGAGTTTCAATCCCAAGACAATCCGACATTTTAAGTCATTCAAGACAGGGATCAGGTGGTTACAACATCTGGCCCCACTATCTCCTCTTTAGACTAGCAGTATAGATGGTTGCAGCTGCACGACTCACACAGGTTGGAAAAGCAGGGATAAAAGTCAACAGTTGCCTGCTAGACCACACATGTTTTGTATGTGTAAAATGTATACTCAGGGCTCGTAGAATTTCAAACATTTGGGGAATTATATTACCGCTATTCAAACCAATAGACAGTTTTGGTCAGTTTCCATCCCTGGAGGGGCGGTGGGGTAGCCTAGTGGTTAAAGCGTTGGCTCGTCACACCGAAGACCCGGGTTCGATTCCCCACATGGGCACAATGTGTTAAGCCCATTTCTGGTGTCCCCCGCCGTGATATTGCTGGAATATTGCTAAAAGCGGCGTAAAACTAAACTCAGTCAGTCAGTCAGTCCATCCCTGGAAACCACACTGAATCTCCATTCTGACCATGAAAAGACTTTACAGGCCTTTTGGATGGGAAAATATGAAAGAGTTACCCCTCTAAATACACAAATACCAGCATATTTAAACATATTTTAACACATTTTCTGTTGTCACATGATGGCCTTGAACCTCAAATTATACTTCAACAAAAACCATTGGACGGACGTGCTCCTGAAGGACCAATTTCCAAGGAGGAAGGAATGTGTCAGTGTTTGTAACCTCGGCCTTGCCTTCATCATCACCTCAGCATCTCCCATCAAGACAATAACATGTCGGCTGCAATACTCATTGTCTATGGAATTGTTTTGAAATGCCAAACTGTGATGGTGATTACTGCTTACTTGAGTTGGCTGACCTGATTGGCCTCCAGACAACATGCGTGCTAACATGCAACCAAGCATGACACAAACTGTCAACTTTATGTGCATGTTGCAAGGGAGAAGGCATTGAAAGACGCATGCAGGAACAGCCGTTGGCCATTTTCATTGATCAGGTGCTGATGGACGGAGAGGAGTGTGTCTTGTGATCAGCCCCAGGGGTTCAGCCTGATCCACAGTTGTGTAGAATTTTGGCACTGTGACTGAGATTATCACACAGTGTTTGTTGTACTCTTCAGGGATTTTCATAGACGAGGATACTGATGCTCTTGGTCAACAATTGCCATTACCCTTCACCTATAAGAGTAAGGCTTACTCTCTGAAAATATTGATATACTCCTGTATGGCAACTCCTGTGACTCTCCAGGAATTAACGGTCCAGACTATGGCTGTAGTTTGTCAGGCGGATGATATTTTCCGACATGGGGTGGTGGGGAAGTTTCGGGGTTTCATTCTCCATATGGGTGCTGTGTGTGAAGTCCATTTCTGGTGTTCCCTGTCGTCATATTGCTGGAATATTGATAAAAAGGGCATGAAAAGTTACTTAATCTTCCATTCGCTTAATCACTCCTACTGATTATCCCATAGATCTGACCCACTCAAGCAACGCCTTGAATGAATTATAATGGAACCAATTGTAAAATTCTTGTACAAAGTTGTTAAATGACCAAAAATCAATTTCAGCTTTGTGGTTTGGAAGGAAGAGTGAGAGCTGTTAAATTATAGAGATCTCTGTGAAATTACTAACATGATCGTGTGCTAATTAGATTTCAGTTAAAGGTTGCCTTTACCTCAGTGCACAATAAGACTGTGGCTGCCAATCACTGTGTGGAGTTGTGTCCCTTTTGGTGTGCAGGTAACATATGAACTTGAGTTCAACTTCCAGTTTGCCTGATCATGTTTCTTGGATTGTCAGCACCTTACCTGGGCTTTAAGAATCTGCATCAGTATGTTAAGTTTTAGGAGTGAGTGAGGTTGGTTTTGTTCAGGTTTCAGCAATATTCCTACATGTGGGCAATGGCCTTCACACATTGTACCCACATGGAATTCAAACCCGGGGTTTCTGCATCAGTGTACGCTCTAACAACTAGGTGAGGACCATGGAGAGGTGAACCAGTGGATGATGGATGGATCTGTGTGAAATAAGGCATCCATCTTGCATGCATCTTCCTTACATCCTTGTATGACGGTACTCCCTGATTGATCCGACTCTGAACCGCTATTGATGATGCTTAATGCACTCTCAGCTTTTCTTATTAAATCTATTGGTGCTATTGGTGCTGCAAAATACATACACGCTACTCCCCTCGAACTTGGCACCTGGGGGATGGCAGAACGCAGGGCAAGGAGATTGGGCAAGAGAGTGGACACCCAACAGTGGACATGCTGACCAAGAGTGCTCTGCAAGGAGACAAGATTAAGGGCGAAGTATTTGGTTGATGGTGAACCCAATCTTCTGGGGTGTTGACCGGCGGTTCCGAGAAGACAATATGATTACTTCTTGCTCCCAGACAATCTGATTACGTCTTGCTCATCAAGCCAGAAAAAGCATGACAAACAGCAGACTTGGAGGCAGGAATGTTGTTACCAGATTCCAGTTTAGACTTCCACGACATCAAATTTTTATTATCCCAGAGCTTAGATTTAATTTCAGTTTCGGTAGAATATGGTAGTTGCGTACCATCCCCTCACAGTCAGATGAAAGTCTGAATATTGTCTTGCTGTAACTTGGTACACACTCAGAGGTTAGCCCTGGGCAGAGAGTCAGATGCCTTGTTACTGAGCGCAGTGGGTGGAACAGCCATTTCTCTGGGGTATACATTGTGCGATTTTTGTCAAGATGTGGGTGTCTGTGATATTTTGTGCAACTGTCACAAACATATTGTCTCCAGCGTGGGCACATACCAGTCATAGGGCAGACTAATGCTTAGTCTCTGAATATGTATAATTTTGATTGAAAATTGAAAAGGAACCCCAGTGAAATGGGCGATTCTGAACCTGAGGAAATCTAGACTTGCTTCATTTAGGGCTTTAGCATTGCAGAAATGGCTGCATGGAGGTATATTTCAGTGTATAGACAGGTACAGCAAGTATATTTGTGTACAGAAAATTATCTATGGTATGTTTGTGCATACAGAAAGGGTGTATCTGAATGTACAGAGGTATATTGATGTGTACAAACAGGCACCAGAGTTACATTTCTGTACTACCTATGTCAACTGAAGCATCAGCGTCTGTATTCCTTGAGTGATCATCTCATCTCATCAGTCCCAGGGAGAAAATGGGACTATTTTAATGTCAGGATATCACACAGCAACAAACACAACCAAACATAGCAGGTCCACCTACCTTGATGGCTGGAAGCTGCTTCATGTTTTCCTGCCCAGATGACTATAAGCATGATGTGCCTCGAGTCTTTTGGTGTCTGAAGTTTCTGGAGCATCTGAGCTGTTGTAAAATATGCTGTGGGGTTATTTGATCTCTCTGCAGTGGGATCTGACAGTATACAGATAACAGAAGGAGTCATCACTCTGGAGGAGTTGGCAGAGGCACTAAGTATTTAGACCCAGATATGGTGGTACAGGTTGAGGAATGATGGGATGCAAAGGGAAGTTCATGTTTAGAGTTCTGAATTGAAATGTACACACATGTGTGTTTGTTTTATCAACATGAGAACTTATGTAGTCAAGTGGATAGAGCGTGGACCCTTGAGAGCTGAAAGGCAGGGTTTAATCCTCAGCTGTGTCATGCCAGAAGACATTTAGATTGTACGATGGTTTCCCTGCCTGGTAATTAAGGGAACAAACACTGACGTCTTGGAATGGCATGTATATGTCAGGGTAGAGACTGCGATCGGAATCTCTACCAGTAGAGACGGCAATCGGAGTCTCTACTGGTAGAATCTCCGATCCTACTAGTAGAGATTGCAATCGTAGTCTCTACTGGTTGAATCTGAGATTCTACCAGTACATTTTCCAATTCAACTGGTTGAAACTCCGATCCTACTAGTAGAGGTCATTTCCCCACCTCTTTGGAAAGCAGTGTTTTATAACAATTACTGATCATAAGTTTTGAAATACATCTGAATGAACTTCCTACTTTTATCTGAGACTTTGATAACAAACATTGAACACCTCACTGTAAACAATATCAAAATAGAAAATAAAAATGGTTTGTAACACTGTATTTACATCATGAGACCAAGCTGCCAAATCTGGACTCCACTCAAAACACAATAACAAAATACCTTACTCCAAAACAGACTTAACAAATAAAGTTAACAAGATAACAATAAATAAGTTCAATTATAACTGGCAAATAATAGGAAAACATTATCCCCACTTATTATACTTGCTTGCATAGGTTATTCCATATAATCGTATTCTCTCCGATCGCAATCTCGACCAGTAGAGACTCCGATCGCATAGGTTATTCCATATAATCGTATTCTCTCCGATCGCAATCTCTACTGGTAAAATCTCTGATTCTACCAGATCGCAATCTCTACCCTGACATATACATGCACATTGCTATTCCCTTACATGAAGGGTTTTGTGCACGCTGAAGAACATCTGTTGGTTTCTCAATTATTGCATGAAGAACATGTCACAAACTTACTAAACACAGCTTTATCTTAAGCACATGGAATCATCTGAGTATTTACAATGCCTGTGTGACAACCCGCCTTGTTGTAGCACAAGTTAAGCCGTCTGAAAACCTATAATCCAACAATGTAATATAATGTTACATGCAACATTAGACCTCATTTCATTTCGCCTTATCTAGCAGCTAGTTGATGGAAAGATAGCAGATTCGTGATCTGCAGATATGTTCTGCCTTCAGAAAGATACTTTGTGTAGTTCAGATCAGTGAGTGAGTGAGTGAGTATTGCTTAAGGCGACATCAGCAGTCAGCACTCTTACATGTTTAATGTGACTGTAATTTGGTCATTGGTCATTGCCATGATAAATATACATGGTCAAAACTTGTCAAAGAAATTATGTTTATTTTCACCTCATGGTGGATTTGTGGCAGCAACATTCTTTGCCCATATCCCCTTTTACTCTGCGTGGCCCTTTAAAAGGTTTTGCATCCCCATGTGATTCCCATTGTAAATGTGTGACCTGGGACAAGCGGTATGATTAGTCCATTGAATGAGGTCCCCTGTGTACCTTCACTCAGCAGAACATAGCGCTGAGGAAGCCATGTAAATTGTGAAAAACATCATCCAGGGAGATAAGAATTGAAAATTTATAAGCCTAGCTGATGCAACTGTCGGACTGAACACCCTAAGACCTTATCATTGATAAATCATGTTCTTTACAAATCCTATGCAAGCATTAGAAAGAAAAAAAAATCACAATTCTTAATTGAATTTCAGATGTCTTTGTTATCCTATGGGCATACCAATACCTGAGAGTACTATATCCATCTTAAGCATATTAAGATCTTGTATCCACGACAACCCCCTTCAGAATGTTTTGTAAGCAGTTTAAATATCAGGCAGTCTTTTGGAATAATCTGACTGTAGTCAATATTGTGTTGTAAGTAATTCCGATCGCGTTAATCAAGCTGCGGCCGTATTGACGCAGCTGGCTACAAGAGCGTCTGAGATGAGCCACCCAGTTGAAGCGCCCCCTATATGCATCACTTCCCCACCTTCGGATCAATCCCGGAGAGTTAATTGTATCGATCGCTTCAATTGTGGTCCTTCAGCATCTAATGGACACATTTTGTACTTCGTTTACCCTCCAAAATTGGTTGCGATGGTTTAGGATTATACGTTTTGAGTATGTTGGCTACGGTTCACGATCATATGTGCACTTTCTGTTGTTTACATCACTTTGTCAGAAGCTTACGCCCACAATGTCTAGATGGGTGAAAGGAAGAAATTTGGATGTACTGAGAATTTTTTTCAAGTTTTGTCACTGCCAGACTCAATTTTCATCCTTTATCTTCAACAGTGACAAGATACTTTGATCACAGAGCAGCAGTAATGGCACAGATGGAGTGAAAAGTGGAAAATTTTAATCTCTGAAATACATTAGTTCTTCCAACTGGAGTGCATACCTTCTGCACGACATTCAGCTGTGACACTGTGGAACATCTTCAGCTTGGCATTTTGGCTGCAGTATTACATACTTCATTCAAACAAAGATAACAATCAGTTGTATAAGAAAGAAGGGAGCCATTGAGCACCCTCATTGTGATTATGCTGCGGATTAGTGTTGGGAATTGGTTAAAATCTTATAATTGATGATTGGTTCATTATAACTGATCAATCATCGAAAATAATTGGTTAGCGTCATTTATCAAATTTTCCTGGTTATTTTTCTAAATAAAGAAAAAACATGTAGTTCTTTGGTGTGTTTTTGCAAATTGCACAAAATGCATTTGTAAATTTCACATCTTTAAAGGATGACTAGTATGTTAGGAACATAAATTTCTTGAAGTCTTTAAGATAAATTCAATCATGACATGGAATGAGCTTGTAGTGATTATGAAATGTAAATTTAATGACAGACAAAACCAGCCTTGTGAAAAATATTATTAATGCAAACAATGTGTTGTGAGAAAACATGATCGATTGCTTGGTCGTTTAATCACTGCGACCAATCTTCGATTATTTCAATTAATCGGACCACCACTACTGCGGATAGAGTTGTAAAGGCATGCAGAAAGTTCAAGTGTATAGATATAGAATAGAATAGAATAATACTTTAATGCCTTTTCAGGAATTTGTGTTAATCAGCAGAGCTACTGACACATTAGAGAGATACCAAACATATTTACATAAATTCTTTGATTTAGGTATCTTCACATTTGTTTAAGAGAGATATGGTACTTGGAATAAAGGATGTACGGGCTCTCTTAGTTTTCACAATTGGAACTTTGTAGCGGCGGCCTGAAGGGAGGAGGTTGTATTCCGAATTTAAGTAGTGAGTACGGTCAGATATGATTTTGACAGCTTAATTCACGATTTGCCGCTCATATATTGATGATAAACATTCAAATGTTTCAGCGATTTTACTTGCAGTGTTAACAATTTTGTCTATTTTAGATTTGAGATGAACTGAGAGAGACCCGTACCAACAATGGAAGGAAAATGTTAAAATACTCTGAATAAATGCTACTTAAAAAGATGACATCACAGATGGGTTAACATTAAAAGATCTCAGTTTACGCATGAGATGGAGACGTTGTTGACACTTTTTGTATAGGGCTTCAGTGTTAGAGTTCCAGTAGGAATTGTGTGTCAATTATTCAAACCCATCGATTCCTGAGTGAGTGAGTGAGTGAGTTTAGTTTTTACGCCGCTTTTAGCAATATTCCAGCAATATCTCTGGGGGACACCAGAAATGGGTTTCACACATTGTGCCCATGTGGGGAATCGAACCCGGGTTTCGACGTGACGAGGCTGCCACTAGGCTACTCCACCGCCCCATCAATTCCTGAAAGATTATCACTTGTTGCAAGATCAATTATTAAGAAAAAATGTTGAACAAATCAGATGCTTTGTAAACAAAATTGAACAAAAATACATTGGTGATACAATGTTAAGTTACAGGTGCTCAAACTATTGCTAATTTACTATGGCCTTTTGAATATGGGATTGGATATAATTTCTTTTGGAAACAAATGTCACATTTTGGACTGTTTCCCTGTGTAAAGATGCATATCTTGAAAGAATGTCACTAAAGAGTATTTCAGAATTCACTTTAACTTATGTTATGCAAAAAGATGTTGCTCAGTTAGCTAGTCATCAAAGGAATCACTGGCAGTTTATTTGAGTGGTATCCTCTTGTCTGACTGGACTGTCATGTGGAGTCCGAGATTTGGCCAATCTCATCTAAATCAGATACTTTTCCTCAATGCAGTACATCTTAATGCAGGGCTCCAGATAAGGGCCGTATCGGCGTATGTACGGATATAAAATGTGCACGATACGGAAGGAAATAATTTAGAAAACTTAGCAGATACGCACTACAGCAATGGTGTATGGTCTTGGAATCATATTTATCTGAAAAAATGTTGTGGTGCATATATGAAACGAAACACAAGATTAGTGATACTCCATTAAATTCCATTAAGTACTCTAAATGTACTCTTAAGATTTTCCAGTACTCCTGCATTGAAACAGTAAGGAGTACGTATTCCTGATGTTGAAAATATATCTGGAGCCCTGTTAATGTGAACAGAGGACACTTCCACATTGACACTCAAATCTCAATGAAGGACACGTTGAGTCTTTATGGGCCAGTAGAACAAGTAATTTCTCTTCCATCATCTTGACAGGGTAGCTCGGTGGTTAATGTATTCACTCTTCACGCCGAATACCTGGGTTCGCTTTCCTTCATGGGTACAATGAGTGAAAGCTGCGTAAAACAAAACTCACTCGCTCAGTTGATTTGGGCGTATCAGTCTCAGCAAGAAAGAACTGCCACAGGTCACAAAGATACCCTAAATACTACACCTACTTCAATGTAGAAGCCATGGCATAAACAGGACCAGGTGTATAACATATCCAGAATAATGTACTGAGGGAAATAAATAAAGGAAACATCACTTGGATGTAGTGTTCCTAAATGTATTTCCAGATTTTCACCCATAGTGCAATACAAAACTCGCACGGAAACCAGGAAAAGAATTAAAGGAACACTTGTACTTTCATGTGTTGTTACCTTATTTGTTTCCTTCAGTATATTGTAACATGGTTCTAATTTCTGACATTTCCCTCATTAAGGTTGTTGTTTGACATACAAAGACATGCTGGTCTGAATGATGCTCTCAGCATTACCAGGAATTGAGGAACCTTGGTGTTCATTGGCTGATAAGAAAGTTTACTGGGCGTGACCTCCAATGAGGATGTCCTCAGATCGTCATACATTGAGTCATCCCATCTTATGAAGGATCTGATTATAATGAGATAGTGTTTGGGGTGTAGAGTTTTTACCTATATGGACCTGATCAGTGTTGGATTTACGTAACAAACAACACTATCCTTGCCAGGTATAACAAAGAATGTTTTTGATGCCCACGTTATAAAATGATGAGTGTTTTGATGTCCCTTGGGCAATCCTTCAGCATTAAACCTGCAAATAGGCTTAATGTTGATAAATTTCAAAGTCTTAAGAACTTTGTGTTAACATGGAAACTTAATGATTTGTGACTTGAATAACAAATTGTCTTTGGTGTTAGGTTTTAAGTTCAAGGATTACAGCCTCATTTGGGAGTCTTTGTAAGACGGAGAAGGAAAAAATATGGATTTGCTGCCACTACTTCAAGGTCCTGAAGTTTCCTTGAAATACGTATCATGAACTCTTGTCATCCAGACCTTACATCGTGGTCTCAGTATCAGCTATAGCCCTCAGACATAGTTACCAAAATGAAACATTCATGTATTTTCCACTCATTCACATTTGGCTGCCATGATCCTGTGTGTATCCCATTTCAATCCCCGCTTTGGTTTGATCTGCGGTCAGTTGGCGCAATCAGATTGTTTGTTGGGGTTGTAAGGTTTGGTATTGTCCACCTTATTTAACTGACTTGAACACTGGGATATGTCATTGTTTCAGTGCAGTTCTGATGAGTTTTTAATATGTTGTTGTTTGTTGCAGACATATTCCAAGGAAGCTGTTGAACATGTTCAGGAAATGCTCACACAAGCCCAAAAAACAAGGACATTAGCGTCAAATATTTTTGAGGTAAGATATATGATTGATGACATTTGTACTCGGATTATAACATTTCCAAAACCTCCCTAGCTTTCAGTCTTCCAAGATTCTGACTTGTGCTCTGGCACAGAGTTTCTTTGATGACTGAATCAGTTGGTAAAGATGTTTTGTCATCTTCCATTAGCTTGTGTTCAGTGGTCAACACATTCCTATCAATCATCTCTCAAACCTTCCAACAATCTATCAGTACACCCCATCCACCTGGTCCATCTGTACACCCCTATCCACCTGGTCCATCTGTAAACCCCTATCCACCAAGTCCATCTGTAAACCCCTATCCACCAAGTCCATCTGTACACCCCTATCCACCAAGTCCACCTGTACACCCCTATCCACCTAGTTCATATCCACCAAGTCCATCTGTACACCCCTATCCACCAAGTCCACCTGTACACCCCCCCCTATCCACCAAGTCCATCAAGTCCATCTGTACACCCCTATCCACCAATCCATCTGTACACCCCCTATCCACCAAGTCCATCTATACACCCCTATCCACCAAGTCCATCTGTACACCCCCTTTCCACCAAGTCCATCTGTACACCCTCTATCCACCAAGTCCATCTGTACACCCCCCTATCCACCAATCCATCTGTACACCCCTATCCACCAAGTCCATCTGTATACCCCTATCCACCAATCCATCTGTACACCCCTGTACCTGGTCCATCAACACTTTTCTATCTACTTTGTCCTTCAACACCTCTTGTGGATCTAATCCTTCCACACCCACAGCCTGTGAAATTCATGTCAGTCCACTGCTGTAAACAAGTAATAATCCAATGATATACTTCTCACTGAGGAGTAGTATTCGAGGGGCAGAATTCTGAACCCTTTCTCAATGCTTCAATTTTGCTGCAAATAAGAATTAAATGAAACTGACAGAAAATGTACACAGAGTATCATTTTGTCTCCTGATGGAGGACTGCAGACTGAGGAAAACTACAGTAAACATTGCACTAGTTTTTGTACTGTAAAAACATAAATTTCTGGGGCTGCATCATCCTATCCTTACAATCCCTCCACCACACCACAACACACACCAGACAGCACCATATGAGAGGAATGGATGGCAGAACAGGTTCCCAGCCCCTAAAGAACCAAGCATTGGTTTGACAGATTTGTGAATAGTACGGGTAGGGATGAAAGGGTAACGAACTTGTCCAAATTGTGGTTGAGGAAGTTTTCCATTGGTAGGTCTGACATAAGACATGACACAAAACAGTGACTTTGAATATCATACTTCCGAAATCTATGTAATGCCGATCAACAAGACATTTTGATTGATTGGCCAGGCCGTAACAGATAATCATACCCCACTACGACATGCCAAAACAGGCTTCTTCTTGAAATGATAGACATCAGGAAAGTGTTCATTTCACAGTATGACCTATCATAGTTAACCCATTTTGGGTAATCACTTTGAAATTAATCTCAGGATTCAAGCATCTGATTCTCATTTTCAGACGACAGTTCGCTATTGTTACAGCATTCTGAAAATACCAATTTTCTCCACCAAACAATCTGTGATTGCAAATTTGACCAAATGACCCAATCTCCCTGCTTGTGTGGTCTTAAGGGTGAAAATTAGCCATTACCAATCCACTATGCAGAGACTTGCCCACACAAATCTGTCTCGGACATATTAAATACAAGTCCCTGTCTCAGACCGAGTCCCTTGGGGCCAGTGCAACCTCCAAACAAGGACTGAAAATGAGAGTTTGTGATGTATTGTCGATCTTGGTTCTGCCCGACACCAGTGGTTGAGTGGAGATACAGTAGAAGCTGCAGGGACGTGTTTATTATTGATGGGCAGGGAACATTCTTGTCTTGTCCCTGGTGCTCGGAACCAGCTCTATCCACTTGGAAATACATCGTGTGTTTATCTTGATAAATGATAATGAAAGATTTTCTACTTTGTCAGGAGTAAGAGATCTCCTGATAGTCAGGCAACAGGGGCTTTCAGACAGGACCTACTGACTTACTGCAGTGATTAATCTGAATTGTCGCATCGTCTGTTGTCCATCCATTTGTCTCTTGTCCGTTAGGGAGAACGGAAAGCCAGTTTTTTGTGTTCCTATGTCAGTTTGGCTAGACCGTGTTTTGGTACAATTCATGACCAAAAAGCCAAGATACCATAGGCCAGACAACAAATTTCATCATCCATGAACATATTTCTACATGACTGGTCACATTTATGAATTTAGGTTATCCAGAATTGTGTGTTCTATGACACTGATTGATGAGATCCAGAGATAAATTCCTTTCCTGTTATTACTTGCATAATTTGGCCATCACTCAGTTGCTGCAGTTATGTTTGAAGATACAGGGATATCACAGAAACTCCCAAGTTGATGGTCATTGTTAAGAAGGACAAAGGTGATACTTCCAGCACAAATCCTAATGTGTCTATGGCGTCTGGTTCCAAACTTATTATCCAATGAGCAATTCATTTTTGGCATGAAAGTGGGAGCCAGTTAAAAAAAATACCAAAAGCGAATTTGTTTCAAGGTTTTAATTAGTAAGTTGAAAAGTGTCAGGTTGATGATTAAATAGGGTATCCAGTATATGTTTGTGTGTTGAGAGAAGGTACCCAGGGTATATTTGTGTGTTACAGTCCTAGTTATTACTAAGGGGTAGCCTAGTTATGTCCTGATGCTCTACATGGCCTGATATGTGGTATCTACTGATCTGTAATGGCTGCCGTGTCCAAGGACAGTTTGCCCATCACAATAGAGTTGGTTCAAATCCCTTTTGTGGTATTCCAGATATAGCTTGAAAAACTGCTGAAAGTCCATCAGGGGTGGAAATAACTTTAAAATTGCTAGTGTACGCTGGTACAGTGGCACATGTAAAATCACTTGCCCTGATAAGTTTTCCACTATACCGGCCGTTTTCTTGTTGATTTTTGAAATAAACAACGTTATTAACATTGGAAAGTCAATTGGACACCGGTACAGCATGGTATACAAATTTGCTTGCCCGACAGAAAAAAACACTGGACTCGGACGTCGGGCAATGGGTTATTTCCATCCCTGTCCATAAAACCGTTTTAACTCACTGATGTCTGGATGGCCTGTTATTGAATACACTGGATTATCAAGATAACAACCAACATCTACATTTGTGAAGGTCATTGCTTTCAACCAATTGAAACCATTGCAAGAGTCGCATTAAATTACAAGGTCACTCATCCACTCATTTATAAAAGTATTGAAAAAATTGCTGCTGAAAATTTGACACCCATGTGTAGTCAGGAGAAAATGTCAGCAAAGTGGTCTCTTATGTAAGTCTGTATGATGGCCTAAGTAAATAACAATGTGATCATTTACATGTCTGGTAGCCACTAATGGATTGGCCTTTTAATGGCGGAGTTGTCTTGTCAACTGTCAGTACAGGAGGACGGCCATGTCACGCTCACTGCAATGACTGGCAGTTCAGTGCTGTGCAGTGCTGTGGTACCAGAAGATGATAGGAGCTTGTTGATTAGAAATCTATACTCTCCAAAGACATCACCATCTCTGCTTCTGATTCTAACAAAAAATGATTGAGAATACTGCATGCTCTACCTTATATATACTACCCATCAAAAGTTTAGACTCACTTAAAGCACTCACTATATGTTATGTATATGTATGTGGTTACATCGAAGATGAATTTCTCCACCAACTTGGGGGAACCAACTGAAAACCTTATGCAGATGAATTGCACAAGGATGATGCTTCAAATTGCGAAAGGCATGAGCAAATGTCGTGCATGTGAACAGATGCGTTTTGGTGTAAAGTTTTGTTAAGAATTCGCCAATTTTCACAGATTTTAATCATTTACTGAACTCATGACAATAATCTTTTCAGTGTTACGAATATGTTTTACAATACACCAGTTCATAACTAAACAGTACCTTTAAACAGTATGGAATATTTTGCAAAAAGCTAGTTTAGAACAGTGGACAAGTAAGTGGCTACATTTACACTAGTGAGTCTAAACTTTTGATGGGTAGTATACGATAAGATTATTTGTTTTGGACCGGTAAGTCTATGGTACTGAGGTTTTCATTTGTTACGCTTATGTCCCATTTAGATGTAAACATTCTTTTGAAAAAATAAACAAGAAATTAGATAACAAATATTCAGGGTTGAAATTCACCTGCAGAGAGTAAGAAAGTCAACAGGTGAACTGAAATGACTGTGTTCAGGGCTCGAAAATTCCACTCGTCCGCTGGTATTGACGAGTAAAATTTGTTTCGGGCAAGTGAAAAACATATAGAGGACAAGTATGTTTTCTGACCCAAAAGTAACATTTTTCTTTTTCCTTGAAATTCAGCTATCTTAAATGGTGAATTAATTCAATTTTGTCAAAGATTTTGTACAGAAGAAAAAGTTAGTAATGTTTATTGCAGTTTTATTCTAAGCAAACCTTTGAAATAATATAATTTAAATTTATATTCATTGTTATGCATGATCTATAGGGAAAGTACAAATATTTATATTCATTGTTGTGCATGATCTATAGGGAAAGTACACATCTAGAAGGAATGCAGGTTTTTTAATTTTTCGAGCCCTGTGTGTTAGAATACAAATGGCATAACACCAACATTATCAGAATACATATCATATCGGAGCCATACCATTACACATACAGTTTCTATTATTCAAGAGAATAAGCACATTGCTTCTCAAATGGATGGGCTGCAAGGAAACGTTTGATGTTCAGTTGATTTACACTAATAAAAACACATTGTTGCCGAAGACCTGTTCACAGCTGTTTTATGGATGATATTTTTCTACCATTTAATGAAAGGGAACAGTTGTTTGACAACATTTGGACAACTGTTTGCATACAAATCTTTGACAAGGTCATCAAACTATGTTTGTTGGCAGAACAAATTGTTTGATAATTGTCCGACGTCTGCCAACAGATCCCATCAAGTATTGGAATTTATCACTTCAGGCTCATGTGGAATTATAATTATAGCCTTTAATGCAATTTTATCTTGCAGAAATTACTCAAATTACAAATGTATCATTTGTAATCTGACGGTTATACTAAAGCGAAGTATGCTTTTCACTGCGATTCAGTATTATTATATCTAAATTTGTGCCTCTAATGTATTGCTCCTAAACCGTATGTTTCATGTTATAGTTTCATTATGAATGCAAACTAACAGTACATATACATATACTTTTCTTTCTTTTTCAGCCATACATAGATGAAATATGTAATTCATTACGGGGTCATATATTTCAAAATTTTTTAGAGAGGTAAGTTGAATCTTTTTATCATTATTTTACTGTTAAATAATATTTTTCTGAAAAACACTAAAGGGATTTGGGGTTGGAATACACATATTGTAGAATCAGAGTGATTTGCATGACACTATGTCATAGAATGGAATGGCATGAAACATTGCTCATAATATCAATCACTGGTTTGTCTGTTTTAGACTTCCATGGCTGAGGTATTGATTGAATATTGAGTGTGACATTTCACAAAAGGAATACCTACAAACCATATGTCAGTCTTCATGGTGGGGTAGCCCAGTGGTTCAAGTGTTTGCTCATCACACTGAAGACCCGGGTTTCATTCCCTGCTGGGTACTATGTTTAGAGCTTTTTGCTGATGTCCCAAGCTGGGATATTGCTCAAAGCATTGTTTAACCAAACTTACTCAGGTCTCATGTACTAACATGCCTGTTGTTGTGTATGAGGATACGCCAGTGATAGGTGGGTCGTTAAAGTAGCTTAGTCGTTAAAGCATTTGCTTGTCATGCCAAAGGCCCAGATTCAATTGCACACATTGAACACAAACAATGTGTGAAGCTGTGAAGTTTCAAGCTGTGATATTGTGGGAATATTACTGAAAGCAGCATCAAATGGAAATAACATCCCCATTGACTTGTAACTCCATACACACCATGATTATGTAAAAATAAATATTTTGTTTGTCGTAAGGTAGAAAACATTTGATATGGAAGTATGTGTACATGCTGCTTAAAAAAGTAAATAATTGGAACATCAATTTTGAGTCTTTAAAATGTTCTTTTGGAAAGAGGTTCCTGCCAAGGCGCCAGGGAGAACACTTGACTGTATAAACAACATGTGTGTGTGATTTTCTCAAGGGGGTACTAGTATGCCTTCCACTAAAAACTGTCCATAGAAATTCATTCTTCAGTCAAGCCTCTAAAGTAGCCAATGATCATTTATCATGACTTAAGCATTGTCTGTTTTTTTGTTTTTCAGTGATAAATACACAAGGTTTTGCCAGTGGAAAAATTTAGAATTAAATATTAATGTGAGTATTGTTGGGTTTGTTTGAAATAACATTTGGAGTTTAGACACTTGATTCATTTCCATTAACTGTAACTATTAGACATAGTAATGTGAAATAACTCTGTGAACTTTCAGTTGTTTTAAGTGAGGTGAGGTGAAACTGGGTTTAACGTCGTGCTTGAGAATATTTCGCTCATATGACGATGTGCATGCGTGTGTATGTGTATGTGCGGCTGCTTGTTCTAGCCCAGACTTAAGCTGGTTTTATAGTGCTAGCTTACTGAAATACCATGCCGCAGTGAAGCATTAATACCCCACTCAGACACATTATACTGACTCTGAGCCGACCAGTCCTTGTTGTACCCATTACTGCCGAGCGCCAGGCAGGGACCAACAAGTACCATATTTTAACGTCTTTTGGTATGACGCGGTCAGGGATCGAACCTGCGACCATCCGTTCTCCGGCGGACGCTCTAACCACTACACCACGGAGGCGTTTTAGTTGGTTTAAGTAATAGTATAGGACGTTGTAAGAACCCTTGGGCAAGAGAACCTTATTAACCATTTCATTGATAATAATGTGCCAGCTGACGGTCAGGCTGTGAGTATATCCTCCCTTTAGAAGGCTGGATGCTATTTAGCTATGATAACTTGATAAGATGACCCTTGAAGATCCAGGTTAGAATTGGTCTTCAGGAACCCATGCAGTTGGTTGACATGTCACCGCATACCAGTTTCGTTGATCGAGTATTTACAGATGCCATCATAAAGCTGGAATATTGCTGAGTGAGGCGTTAAATTACAAACAAAAGATGTTGTGGAGATGCTGCAGGCGGGTTCCGTTTATATGTGTTAGGGGACACGGATAGTACTGTCATGTAAGGCAGTTCAACTGATGAGTTGCAAGACAACTGTGATTGTGTGTGAAAGTCTGGATTGGCAGTGGGGTAGCTTAGCCACGCTGAAGTCTCGGGTGTGTTTCCTCAATTGGGCATTATGTTTGAAGTCAGTTTCTGGTGTCCACCCACCGTTATATTGTTGGAATATTGCTAAAGGCGGCATAAAACTAAACTCACTAGTGTTTCTCAGCAGCATGCTTAAGCTTTCCTTCTACACCAAAGTTTACATGCTGTGATGTGCCTGGAATACTGTTAAAAACAGCATTAAGCCAAACTCATTCACTCATACCTACTTAAATAATGTTTCATTCACTAATTGCTATGATGTGTTTTCTTTCCAGTTAACAATGAATGACTTCAGTGTACATAGGATAATCGGCAGAGGGGGATTTGGCGAGGTTTACGGGTGCAGAAAAGCAGATACAGGCAAAATGTAAGTCATGGCGGAAATCACTTCAGCTGATTCATAGTTGAAGCAATACATTATTAATGAAGGTTCAGTCGAGGAGGGCTATATTGAGCAGGACGAGAAGGTCCGCCAGGTGCCTCTGCAGTCTGAAGCTCTCAGCGAGGTGATGCACATGCCATTTGATCCTGTGAATGTCATATGACATCCTGTGATTTGAAATGAAATGCAGCATTAACAATATACTGTACTTGAGAGATCCCAAGCTTCTGTCAGTATTAACCCCTGTGTCCAGTTTAAGATTATGCAGTCTCAACCCCCCTTTGTCCTGTGTCAGACGCATGCATTGTTAACCCCTGGTTAAATTATGCAATGTTAACCCCTGTGTCCTATGTTAGAATTATATTAAACCTTGTCTTATGTTAGATGTGTGCAGTGTTACCCCTATGTTAGAAGTATGCATTGTTAACACCATGCCACATGTACTATTTTATAATGCAGTGTTGATGTTCACTATTTTATCTACTTAATGCATTCTGCAATGTTAACCCTCCATGTCCCATGTTGTAGGTATGCAATGAAATGCCTGGACAAGAAGAGAATTAAAATGAAGGGAGGAGAGACATTAGCTCTGAATGAAAGGATAATGTTGTCATTAGTCAGTACAGGGGTGAGTACATTTTTGTTAACTGATATATATCAATAACTAGCAGAATTACATGTTTAGAATTGGTCTCCAGAACCCTATTCTGGTTGTAGTAGGCCAGTGATTTGATATGGTGGTTGTGCTTGGTGAAGTAACTGACAGCATGTCACCTCGACGACATGGATGGTTGCTCACTATATCGATCACTGGATTGTCTGGTCAAGCCACAATAACAAGCCACCATCATATCACTGGAATATGAGTGTGACTTTAAACCAACAGACACAAACTATACAAAGTGTGTGTACAGAGGATATCACTTGTATCTGCAGTCTTGTTCCATGTTATATGGGTGTGGTTTTTGCAGCACACCACACAGCATCTATATTGCAAGTACGGCTGTGGGCCATATATATACTGTGTAGATGTTTCTTGTCAGGTAATGAGAGGATTTTCAGTTAATGATCAATTTTAGGCTGCCGTTTAGTGTAAAAACATGATGACTGGTACATCTGTCCTTTGTTGAAAATACATGACAGATAAGTTGTGCCTGTCAGTTTCATGTCCCCTTTTCTTATTCTTACACTTACATAAACTGGGTTTGTCATCAGAATATGTTGCCAGCATTTTCTTTATTTTGCTGGTCACCATGTTCTGAAACCATGTCATACATAGAAATGTTAGATGAGAGACTAATGTATTTTTCTTAGAATCCCTGAGTGTTATTTTTACTTTGATTACACATCCCGAGGATCAGATTCTGTTTACAAATCAAAATATACAACATTTTTATCCAACACAGGAGCAAGAGCCATCAAATTTACCAGATCCATTCTGTACCTGTCAATATTCAGTCTATTCCGGCAAACGGGAAAACGTTTTCATACATCATATCAGGACCTTTGTTTCTAAACAATACAGTTTGGTATGATGGGCAAGCTTTCACACAACCGTTCCAACAGTCTATTAAACAGTGTCCAATACAAATAGACATCAGCGTACTGCTTCATTGTTCGACAGCCTGTATCACTTAGTGCTTTGCCACTGATGTATATAACCAATTATTTTACAGCTAATGGCAGGATATTTAGAACTGTGGCTACTTGTTTGTGAAAGCCAGATATTGACAGACAATGCTCAGTATGTGATAATATGTTTTACAAATATGGCTACACGGTTCCATCCCCTTTTGCCATGTAACTGTTATTGTGTAATGATACAGTATCAATAGTAATGAGTAGCTGGAGGTCGGCACGTTGTAGCTACCAGCCAGCAAGCCAATCAATAAGTCGGCAGGCTGATGAAACTAGTGATCAGCGAAGTTACTAGTTACTAGTAGCTAGTTTCTTGTAATTGCCCTTTATTTTAGTATCAGTATCGGTTGGGCCCAGGTATAGGTGTGATACTCAACAGCTGCCGTGATTGGATGTATCTTTATGCTCGGGCGCATTACTGAATCATTGCGGACATCAATATTTTCACCCAGAAATGACATATGATGGCGGTAGGGAAATGAGTCCATTTAAATTTCATGAGTTATCGGACATTTTGCTTTTAGTTTATAGCCAGTTCACTCTCCTGAGGGGGGCATAAGAATGAGAATTAGATGCAAGTGGTGGCCATATTGTTCATGGCACTATGGGTAGTGTTTGTCCTCCATTTCTGTCAAGGTGACTTTTGAGACGGTCTTGGTGTGGAGAGGCGGGTTTTCTTTTAGGATTCAATAAGCCAGAAGCATTAATCTTCGTGCTATATATGTCTGCAACTGGGATATTAGGTTTAAATATAGCTCCGAAGGGAACACGCTTCTATGGAATATACATAAACTCAAGGGAGAAATGGAAGTAATTCATTAAAAAAAGTGGGAAAGATCTCTTGGAAGAGATTTTATGAATGACATAAAGTTGCATATAAAATCCTATTGTGAATCTTGATATCAAATATGTATAACACTGGTCTCACAGAGAATTGAATTGTGATGCAGTAATCCTGATGGAATAGACTTTGCTTCAAGTAAATTGTCACCATCCCACAGCCCATTTGTCTTTCAAATAACAATGCAGGGAATGACATATTTTGGTATTTCTAAAAGTAATGCTTGTTTCATATTGACTTCAACTCTTGTCAGAACAAACTTTGGAATTTGTTTGCATCGGTTATGTAACAAAAAAGTGACAGAACTTTATCCATCTGATATCAATTTAAGTGAATTTATTGAATGTAAAATTCCACATAATTAGGTAATACAGACATATAAAATGGATCAAGACCCCATGCTACTGCAATTTTATTGTGAACTATAATGACAAGATTGCTGTGGATCTGTCATCATCAATAATGACAAGATTGCTGTTGATCTGTCATCATCAATGGTGACAAGATTGCTGTTGATCTGTCATCATCAATAATGACAAGATTGCTGTTGATCTGTCATCATCAATGGTGACAAGATTGCTGTTGATCTGTCATCATCAATGGTGACAATATTGCTGTTGATCTGTCATCATCAATGGTGACAAGATTGCTGTTGATCTGTCATCATCAATGGTGACAATATTGCTGTTGATCTGTCATCATCAATGGTGACAATATTGCTGTTGATCTGTCATCATCAATGGTGACAATATTGCTGTTGATCTGTCATCATCAATAGTGACAAGATTGCTGTTGATCTGTCATCATCAATGGTGACAATATTGCTGTTGATCTGTCATCATCAATAGTGACAATATTGCTGTTGATCTGTCATCATCAATGGTGACAATATTGCTGTTGATCTGTCATCATCAATGGTGACAATATTGCTGTTGATCTGTCATCATCAATGGTGACAATATTGCTGTTGATCTGTCATCATCAATGGTGACAATATTGCTGTTGATCTGTCATCATCAATAGTGACAAGATTGCTGTTGATCTGTCATCATCAATGGTGACAATATTGCTGTTGATCTGTCATCATCAATGGTGACAATATTGCTGTTAACCTGTCATCATCAATGAGGACAATATTTCTGTGAATCTGCATTCAGTGATGAATAAGCCCTCCATGATTTTCAAAATAACAGGGGTATATGACATAACAGTTGCAAGGGATTTGACACACTTATTGTTAGGGGATATGATACCTATTGTTAGGGGATATGACACCTATTGTTAGGGGGTATGACTCCTATTGTTGGAGGATATGACACCTATTGTTAGGGGATAGGACACACCTATTGTTAGGGGATAGGACACACCTATTGTTAGGGGATAGGACACCTATTGTTAGGGGATAGGACACCTATTGTTAGGGGATATGTCACCTATTGTCATGGGATATGACACACCTATTGTTAGGGGATATGACACCCCTATTGTTAGGGGATATGACACACCTATTGTTAGGGGATATGACACCTATCGTTAGGGGATAGGACACCTATTGGTAGGGGATATGACACCTATTGTCATGGGATATGACACGCCTATTGTTAGGGGATATGACACCCCTATTGTTAGGGGATATGACACCCCAATTGTTAGGGGATATGACACACCTATTCTTAGGGGATATGACACACCTGTTGTTAGGGGATATGACACACCTATTGTCATGGGATATGATACCTATTGTCATGGGATCTGACACACCTGTTGTTAGGGGATATGACACCTAATGTCATTGGATTTGACACACCTATTGTTAGGGGATATGACAACACCTATTGTCATGGGATATGACACACCTATTGTTAGGGGATTTGACACACCTATTGTTAGGGGATATGAGACCTATTGTCATGGGATTTGACACACCTATTGTTAGGGGATATGACACTACTGTTGTTAGGGGATATGGCACACCTGTTGTTAGGGGATATGACACACCTATTGTTAGGGGTTATGAGACCTATTGTCATGGGATTTGACACACCTGTTGTTAGGGCATATGACACCTATTGTCATTGGATTTGACACACCTATTGTTAGGGGATATGACAACACCTATTGTCATGGGATTTGACACACCTATTGACATGGGATTTGACACACCTGTTGTTAGGGGATATGACACCTATTGTCATGGGATTTGACACACCTGTTGTTAGGGGATATGACACCCCTATTGTTAGGGGATATGACACCTATTGTCATGGGATATGACACACCTATTGTTAGGGCATATGACACACCTGTTGTTAGGGGATATGATACACCTGTTGTTAGGGGATATGACACCTATTGTCATGGGATTTGACACACCTGTTATTAGGGGATATGACAACACCTATTGTCATGGGATATGACACACCTATTGTTAGGGGATATGAGACCTATTGTCATGGGATTTGACACACCTGTTGTTAGGGGATATGACACCTATTGTCATGGGATTTGACAGACCTATTGTTAGGGGATATGACAACACCTATTGTCATGGGATTTGACACACCTATTGTTAGGGGATATGACACCTATTGTCATGGGATTTGACACACCTGTTATTAGGGGATATGACACCTATTGTCATGGGATTTGACACACCTGTTATTAGGGGATATGACACCTATTGTCATGGGATTTGACACACCTGTTGTTAGGGGATATGACACCTATTGTCATGGGATTTGACACACCTGTTGTTAGGGGATATGACACCTATTGTCATGGGATTTGACACACCTGTTGTTAGGGGATTTGACACACCTATTGTCACGGGATACAACATAGCAGTTCCAAGGGAATATGATATAACAGTTACCAGGTGATACGACATACCAGTTGCAAGGAGAATTGTCAGACCTATTGTCACGTGATTCGAAATACACGTTGCAAGGGGAATTGTTTCAATACTGATAAAGTTTACTTTAAGAACAAACTCACCAATCCTTGATTAATTTTATTTCAGGTCCTTCATATTGCTACAGTAGTTATTTGCAAGTACTAAATGACCCATGTGCAAGTACTAAATGACCTGTAACACAAACCAACGTAGCCTTTTTTTACCAGTGTTTCCCGGTTGACCAACAGTTTCTCAATTTGAAGATTATTTTCTTTGGTGAGAAAATTGTTGATCATGGGTGATATAAATTAAACTTGCTGAAAGTCGTATTCAGGGTTCGATCAACCGCTGTGCAACCAGACTGTCCTCAGCAAGTAATGCCAGTGTTGTGATTTCTGTTGCTTGTATCATTGATTCGGAGCTTTCCTTTCATAAGAACATGTTGGACTTTTCGAATGCTTTACATGTTTGAAATCAAGACACAGGTTTGGTTTGGCCAACCCAAATGAATAAACATCAGCAATGCTTTGAAGACATCAAACTGAAAACATTGGAGTGCCAATATCGGTTGGAAATCCAATCAATCTCACTGGCATCGCAGAGCCCCATTCTCATAACTGTCCGCAGTGATTCTCCCATTTATCTGTGTATCGACTTCGGACGGATGCAGAACCCTTGGGTCAGGAGCAGTTACTTATGCAAAATGAACCAATCAGGGAATAGAATAACCAACACCATCGGCACAAATTGTATTTGGTGGAGGTCAGAGGTAGTGACCTTGATGTAAATCGCCTCTGGTGACCTTGGCAAGAAGTGTTGAATCAATGGCAGCTCCAGTAAAGTTGAATGTCTGGATGTGAATATTAAGCTGAGCTAAGTGTCATCATGGCCACACACGGGAACAGTGGCGGGTTATTTTTAGCCTTGAAACTGTGTAATTGTCAGACTTATAATATATGTGATAACATGTCATTGATTCTGCCACTGTGGTAGTTGATTTCAAAGTATTTGAAGTGCGGGGCGATGGAGGCAATATCTCTCGAGTAAAGGTTTAAACACCCACATGAAACCTTCCGGAATAGCATAATCAATCGGTTGTTTTGCTGAATAAATACTGAGGGTAAAATAACCTAATGGCACAGTGTTATATGTCCATATATAAAGGACTTAATGTGTCCTGTTGGATGTGAAGCTGTACGAGGGGCATCATTGACAGACACCCTTCATTTTAGCCTGACTGTTTATCAGGAATCAAAGTTTCTGCCTTGCATTAATGGAGTTTCATACTGTGAAGTTATTTCAGTTCACAAGTCTTGTCCTCTTTTGAAAAAAGCCCCATCTGATTGATATGAAGTTGAACCTTTTTATATTGAATTCCCCATGGGTGTATAAAACTTATGGAGTGGGGGTAAGGGTGAAGGAATGTTGTTTTGTGATGTACAGTTGTAAATCTGGGTGTGGTGAAACAGTCGTTGAAGGCATGAAACAGTAGTGAGCATGTCATTGAGTGCCGTTTTGTGACAATGATAGGTCTTGAAAACACACTTGTCGGAGGTACACAAGACTCGAGATCTAGACTACAAGTTGTCCAGCTTCCATTTTTGTGGAAGTCGTAGTGGCTGAGAGGGTTAGATGGCTGACTTTGTGTGTAGGCGACTAGGTGCCTGACTCTGAGAATGTGGGTCCAAATCCCTCAACCCAACAAAAAGTACCAGAATCTGTACTTAGCTGAGAAAGTGAAATCACAAATAAGCCATGTGGCACAAAAGTTGGCCTGTACACAGTCCACAATATTACTTAGGGATAGAGGCCTGGCTACAGTGGTGGACAAGTATGGCTGCTGTGTCATTGACTTGCCTACTGTGCATATCACATCCTTGGCTGGTGTCTATTAACAGAGTGACCCTGGCTGTGTTGAGAAAGAAAAGTCATCATATACAGTGGAACCTGTGTAATCTGGAAATATCACATTCTGGTCTTGTTCAAAATGCTGTTGTATAATTATACACCAAAACCCTTCAGTCAGTCTTTGTCAAACTGGATGTTATAAACTTGTTAGTTTATCTCTTGAGGAACATTATCTCTATTTTCATCAGGAAGTCCCTTCATTATATGTATGACATAAACTAATGGTTGTTTCAGGATGGAAGTGTCTTCATTATGTGTATGACATATACTAATGGTTGTTTCAGGATGGAAGTGTCTTCATTGTGTGCATGACATATACTAATGGTTGTTTCAGGATGGAAGTGTCTTCATTGTGTGTATGACATATACTAATGGTTGTTTCAGGATGGAAGTGTCTTCATTGTGTGTATGACATATACTAATGGTTGTTTCAGGATGGAAGTGTCTTCATTGTGTGTAAGACAAACATACTAAGGCTGTCGACACATAATCCTAAACAAAAACTCATATATACTATATATAAACACAATAGCATGGCTATATATATACTAATGTTTGTTTCAGGAAGGAAGTGCCTTCATTGTGTGTATGACATATACTAATGTTTGTTTCAGGATGGAAGTGCCTTCATTGTGTGTATGACATATACTAATGTTTGTTTCAGGATGGAAGTGCCTTCATTGTGTGTATGACATATGCTAATGTTTGTTTCAGGACGGAAGTGTCTTCATTGTGTGTATGACATATAGTAATGTTTGTTTCAGGATGGAAGTCCCTTCATTGTGTGTATGACATATGCATTTCAAACACCGGAGAAGTTGTGCTTCATCCTGGATTTGATGAATGGAGGGGACTTGCATTACCATCTGTCCCAACATGGCGTCTTCACAGAGAAGGAAGTGCGCTTCTACGCCACAGAGGTCATCCTCGGCCTGGAACACATGCACAGTCGCTTTGTGGTGTATCGAGATCTCAAGGTGAGCAGGAAGTTGAAGCTTTGTTCGTTCATGTCGCAGTCACTTGCTTTTGTGTTAAAAAATGGACGTGATCTTGTTCTTTTAAGAAGAGATGTGCTCTCGTACTTAGAGAATAACCATGGTATTTTGGTAAGAAAACAGACATGCTCTTGTGTTCAGATAATAGCCATGCTATTGTGTTTAGAAAATAGCCATGGTCTTGTGTTTAGAGAATAGCCATGGTCTTGTGTTTAGAGAATACCCATGCTCTTGTGTTAAGAAAACAGACATGCTCTTGCAGGTTTTAAAATACCCCATATATAGTGTGCCATGGCACAGTAAATACTGAAATGTCATGGCTGAAAAATGTTCTCGGTGACCTTTTGACATGCCTAATTTTTTTGAGACATAACTCACATTTAGTTTTGCTCATAAACCCAGTTCTTTATTTAACAATAAATTTCAAATGATCATCATCATTGTCATTTATTCTAAAAACAAGTGGGCATACTTGATTTCTGAAAGGCAAACCGAAAATATTTATCTGGTGCCCTAAGGCACACTTAGAATTTTTTTTTATTTCTATCCCTGTCTTGTGTTTAGAGAATAGCCATGCTCTTGTGTTAAGAAAACAGACATGCTCTTGTGTTAAGAGAATAGCCATGCCCTTGTGTTAAAAGAATAGCCAAGCTCTTGTTTTCAGATATGTAGAGTACAGTAGTGTCTTTACCAACAGACACACCCTTGTTTCAGCTGGGCACGAGTGCCTAATTCACCGCAATTCACTTAGATTGCCAATCTCATGATCTGCTAGTGTGAATCCACATCCAGATCATGTCCCTAGGTCTGTAAGCACTGCTCTTGCCCAGATGGGTTTTACCACACTTGTAAGGCCTAAAAATAAAATGCTGTGGTTCCGATTACCCGTCCGACCCTTGATTTCTGGTGCTGACTCTAGTTTTTTTACAAGGTATGAATAAAATAAGCTTTCAGATACCATTGTTTTTTCCTGGCACCAACGGACATCGGTCTTTCTGATAGAGAAAGACAACATGATGGCTGCAAGCTTGATTGAATAAACAATTACACATTGATAAATGTGTTATTAGTTCGTACTTTACTTCTAAAAAAAATGTATAAAAAATCATTCCTTCCTACCTACCTACCCTAAATTTTAAAGAGGTGTAATTGGAACCACAACATTTTTTTTATTTGGCCAAATCATATATCTCCATTGCTTCCTGAATTCCCCCACATTTTACTTAGATGCAGTGGTCTGAAGTGCAGTAATAACCCACATTCGACCCAGCTCATCCCTCACCAGACACCCTTGTATTTAAACTTTGTGAATGTTCAAGCACAGGAACCATCCCCCGAGTTACAGATTTCACCAAGCTGGTAAACATCCGAGACCTGCATCACTTCAGGCTCCTTTCAATAATTTTGCTGACGTTTCCTCCCCCAGTATGTTGTAATGCTATTTTATTACTGGAATTCTGTTCATAGCGGCATTAAGCCCAACTCACTCACTCACTCACTCACTCAAGAACAGGAGAGTTACTTGGTATTTGAAGAGGCAACTGGTATTGTATTTTGTTGGTATCAGCCCCATGATGATAGGACCAGTGGAATGAATGTAACTTGCAGTTGTGCTGCATTGAAGAAACGTGTCAACAGTTGGTGCTCATGCTTTCAACCACTGGTTTACCTTCTCCAACGGTTACATGCTGAAGGATGCTTTGATATGAAAGCAATATGGCTGCTCCTCCAGAAAATACATTCACTCATTTAGCAGGTTGTAAGTTGATATCATATCAGAGTGGAAATCTCTCATAATATGGAATTAAAAGCCATTATGTTTCTTTGCAGCCGGCAAACATACTCCTTGACGAAAATGGACATGTACGAATCTCAGATCTCGGGTTGGCGTGTGATTTCTCCAAGAAAAAGCCACACGCCAGTGTGTAAGTATGTCTGGAATCATCTGCCTAGACAGCGCTGGTGAACAGACTAGCCGGGGGTCAGGGGTCAGGTGATACATTAATGTTCCCCAAGTCTGTCTTATCTTCAGTAGCCTTCCTCCACATGGGTATGGCAATTGCCTGGCCAGGGATGGGGAGATGATCACAAGTGGGGACAATCATTTTATATTCAGGGGTCAGGATGAAGGCCTAGAATGTTCTTACACTCCTTCAAGATATTCGGTCTTCTTTGAAAGGACACCAAACACTTGGTTATTTAAAACAATTTTTGTATAGCAATTGTTTTATGATTAACAAATATGTTTATTCTTGTGAAACCTTGAGCAAAATTATTTGCTCCCAGTTCGGCGAAACTGATCTCATTTGAAGAACATACACAATACAGAATCTAATATTATATTATTATGTCAGATTTGTCAACAGATTGAATTTGATTATTTGTGTCTAAACACATTTATTACCTTTATAGGACTTTAGAGTAATGATGAGTATTTATGTTTTAACCAAGCCAGTGATTAAAACCCCAATCTTCGGGGAAGTATTATTAACTTGGTGTAATAATGTTGGTCTACTGTACAGTTCCCCATTCCACAGAGTAATGTTAGTGAGAAGACTATTGTAACTCTCATACTAGATGACAGTAGTGTTAGCATTGTTAATGGCTTGTGGAACCTTGGTTAGGTATTCACAACACTGTTAGACTTAACTATTGAAGTGTCTCTTGTTAATCAACCTCTAATTGGGAAGTCATTAATATGTAAACTGCAGCATCAATCAATTAGCTAGGTGACATGTAACAATGATCGATTGGTGCTGTCGAAAACCTTTCAAGGGAGACGAATCTCGTGTCACTTGTACAGCTTTAAGGCCTATCTGATGACTGATTTAACCATGGTGGATGGATGGATAGAACCACATGGACACTGAGTCACAATGTCCAAGTGATTGTAGAAGGAGCTTTCCTTCTTAATTCACACTACAGTCTGTTTGGCTCAAAAGCGGACCGATGAATTGCAATCTAACTCGAAAACTAATAAACATAACATACTCAATGAAACGCTGATCATAATCAAAACATCATACCCACTCTGTGAGGTTTTTGCAGAATTTTTGTCCTAAAAATAAAAAAGTTGTTTAACAAACTATCATTAAAATATTGACACAGTTCACTGTTTGTTACGAGGGAGGAGTGCAGAGAAAGGGACAGCCAGGTGTTCGAGAAGCACGTTCACAGACAAAGTTATTTATTCATTAACCTGTGCTGTGCCGTCTCCATCCGTTCTCGAACACCTGGCTGTCCCTTTCTCTGCACTCCTCTCTCGTAACAAATAGTGAACTGTGTCAATATTTTAATGATAGATTGTGAAACAACTTTTTAATTTTTAGGACAAAAATTCTGCAAAAACCTCACAGAGTGGGTATGATGTTTTGATTATGATCAGCGTTTCATTGAGTATTTTATGTTTATTAGTTTTTGAGTTAGATTGCAATTCATCGGTCCGCTTTTGAGCCAAACGGACTATAGTTTGCTGGCCTGTGACTAACAGATTGTGCTAAGGACAAGGAAACATCAAACAATCGCAGATCTGAATTAGAACTGAATAAGGTGGAGTATGTATACACTGTAACTATTTCTGGCTTGATTAAGCAGGACTATCTACAAACTCTGAGGACCAGTGAAATATGGTTTATAAGGATCCTCTTGTAGTAAAAAGAATCTTTCTGTTAATAAAGGTTGTGGCTGGGGGAGGGGACATGACAATAGAGCGGACATGTGAGGCCAAAGTTTCATTGTTCCCAACATGGATACCTTTTTTATGTCAATTTCTGATGTACCCGGCTCTGACATTTCTGAAATATTTGTAAAACAGGCTACAAATCCACTCACTGACACCTTAGTGATGTTCATCAAATGTGAGTTTAACAAACTATAAAAGTCATACTGCATGGAGAATGGTTTCTGTAGGTCATTTATTGAATTGAAATGCATCTGTAGGAGACCGTGTGCTTGTCATTTGGTATGAAAGGTGACAATTTGTTTTCTTTGGGATTGGTGGGGTGGACCTGTTCATCTCAGTTCGTCATTATATACTTTCTATATATACAGGGCATGGGTAAGAACTGGAGGGTCTAGCAGGGGAGCTGAAAAGTATGTGCACCCCTTTTTTTTTAAGTTCTAGAAAATGTGTGGTCAGCTCCTGGTAAGTCACCTTCTAGAAAGCTGGTCAGCTCCTTTTCAGTCAACTTCCAGAAAGCTGGTCAGTCAACTTCTAGAACGCTGGTCAGCTCCTGGTCAGTCAACTTCCAGAAAGCTGGTCAGCTCCTGGTCAGTCACCTTCTAGAACGCTGGTCAGCTCCTGGTCAGTCAACTTCTAGAAAGCTGGTCAGCTCCTGGTCAGTCACCTACTAGAAAGCTGGTCAGTCACCTTCGAGAACGCTGGTCAGCTCCTGGTCAGTCAACTTCCAGAAAGCTGGTCAGCTCCTGGTCAGTCACCTTCTAGAAAGCTGGTCAGCTCCTTTTCAGTCAACTTCCAGAAAGCTGGTCAGCTCCTGGTCAGTCAACTTCCAGAAAGCTGGTCAGCTCCTGGTCAGTCACCTACTAGAAAGCTGGTCAGTCACCTTCGAGAACGCTGGTCAGCTCCTGGTCAGTCAACTTCCAGAAAGCTGGTCAGCTCCTGGTCAGTCACCTTCTAGAAAGCTGGTCAACTCCTTTTCAGTCAACTTCCAGAAAGCTGGTCAGCTCCTGGTCAGTCAACTTCTAGAAAGCTGGTCAGCTCCTGGTCAGTCAACTTCCAGAAAGCTGGTCAGCTCCTGGTCAGTCACCTTCTAGAACGCTGGTCAGCTCCTGGTCAGTCAACTTCCAGAAAGCTGGTCAGCTCCTGGTCAGTCACCTTCTAGAAAGCTGGTCAGCTCCTGGTCAGTCAACTTCCAGAAAGCTGGTCAGCTCCTGGTCAGTCAACTTCTAGAAAGCTGGTCAGCTCCTGGTCAGTCACCTACTAGAAAGCTGGTCAGTCACCTTCGAGAACGCTGGTCAGCTCCTGGTCAGTCAACTTCCAGAAAGCTGGTCAGCTCCTGGTCAGTCACCTTCTAGAAAGCTGGTCAGCTCCTGGTCTGTCAACTTCCAGAAAGCTGGTCAGCTTCTGGTCAGTCACCTTGTAGATAGCTGGCCAGCTCCTGGTCAGTCAACTTCTAGAAAGCTGGTCAGCTCCTGGTCTGTCACCTTCTAGAAAGCTGGTCAGCACCTTTTCAGTCAACTTCCAGAAAGCTGGTCAGCTCCTGGTCAGTCACCTTCTAGATAGCTGGCCAGCTCCTGGTCAGTCAACTTCTAGAAAGCTGGTCAGCTCCTGGTCAGTCACCTTCTAGAAAGCTGGTCAGCTCCTGGTCAGTCACCTTCTAGAAAGCTGGTCAGCTTGTGGTCAGTCACCTTCTAGATAGCTGGCCAACTCCTGGTCAGTCAACTTCTAGAAAGCTGGTCAGCACCTTTTCAGTCAACTTCCAGAAAGCTTGTCATCTTCTGGTCAGTTACCTTCTAGAAAGCTGGTAAGCTCCTGATCAGCCACCTTCTTTAAAACTGGTCAGCTTCTGGTCAGTCACCTTTTAGAAAGCTTGTCAGCTCCTGGTCTGTCACCTTCTAGAAAGCTGGTCAGCTCCTGGTCAGTCAACTTCTAGAAAGCTGGTCAGCTCCTGGTCAGTCACCTTCTAGAAAGCTGGACAGCTCCTGGTCAGTCAACTTCTAGAAAGCTGGTCAGCTCCTGATCTGTCACCTTCTAGAAAGCTGGTCAGCTCCTGGTCAGTCACCTTCTAGAAAGCTGGTCAGCTTGTGTTCAGTCACCTTCTAGAAAGCTGGTCAACTCCTGGTCTGTCACCTTCTAGAAAGCAGGTCAGCTTCTGGTCAGTCATCTTCTAGAAAGCTGATCAACTCCTGGTCAGTTACCTTCTAGAAAGCTGGTCAGCTCCTGGTCTGTCACCTTCTAGAAAGCTGGTCAACTCCTGGTCAGTCACTTTTTAGAAAGCTGGTCAGCTCCTGGGTCCTGTTGTACAAAACAACCTTAGTGCTAAAACTACCATAAGTCTATGTGAAGGTATGGGAGTTAGCCCTAAGATCGCTTTGTATAATGGCACCCAGGTCAGTCACCTTCTGGAAAGCTGGTCAGCTACTGGTCAGTCACCTTCTAGAAAGCTGGTCAGTCATCTTGCCAGCTGCTCGACAACTTCTGGCTGATCACCTTCTACAAAACTCCCGGTCAGCTCCTGGTCTGTCATATAGTCAGCCTCTGCCAACCTTAACTTTGACTCAACAGCAGAGCATAATGATTCCGATCACTGCCAACACAAGCCATGCACCTTGTGGGATTCTGTAGCACAATATGTCCCTACAGATCTCTTCCTATGAGTTAGGCCAGGTGGGCATACTGTGTTGCCTGGCTCAAAGTGTGATACTGAACTCCCGTCGATTCAGTACATGTGGCTTCATGGCTCAGACTAGACTATTTACGGTTGGCCGTGACAAAAGTAGAATAGTGCTGTCTGAAGCATAAATAAACATTGAGTCACTCCATGCCAAACACATCATTCTTTCAGTCCTGTTGTTGAGAGTGTGTGAAACTTGGGTCAATGAAAGTAGCCCTCCATCGGTGGAAATGTGTATAGCAGTGGCACAGGTATTCGACTAGGAAGGAAATTAGGAAATCTGAAGGAGGATATTTGCATGAACTTTATTGATCTGTCTAGACAATAAATCAGTGTTGTAAGTCGTGAGCTACTAGACATCATGCAAAGCACACAAGTTAGCTGTTGGAGCATTTTGTCAAAACCCTAATCTCGACAGGAGCTAATCTGAATCTTGAACGAACAACCTTCTCTGGTGGTGATGTTAATACTGGTACCATAGTTTTAAATGGGGGATGCACTTTTGGTCAAAGTAACAAGTGTTAGTTGACTGCAGTATTCTTTTTACATTATGGTTTACTAAATGGTTCCTAACAGAGAGCGACCGCTTCCGTGGTGTAGTGGTTAGAGCGTCCGCCCGGAGAGCGGAAGGTCGCGGGGTTCGATCCCCGACTGCGTCATACCAAAAGACATTAAAATATGGTACTTGTTGGTCCCTGCCTGGCGCTCGGCATTAATGGGTACAACAAGGACTGGTCGGCTCGGAGTCAGTATAATGTGTCTGAGTGGGGTATTCATGCTTCACTGTGGCATGGTATCTCAGTGAGCTAGCACTATAAAACCAGCTTCAGTCTGGGCTAGTACAAGCAGTCACACATACACATACACACGCATGCACGTCGTCATATGAGCGAAATATTCTCAAGTACGACATTAAACCCAATTTCACCTCACCTCCTAACAGAGAGCAAGCATTTCAGGCCAGATGAACATGAGAATGTGCCAAAAAATTATGTGCTGAGGTGCACAGTGCTTGTGCTTGTGTGTCGTCTAACTTGAATGTCAAGGTTAATAACAAGGTTAGATAAAATTTAAATGTTTCTGCTGTTTGAGTCTGTGAGATTAGTTTTACGCCGCTTTTAACAATATTCCAGCAATATCATGGCTGGGAACACCAGAAATGGGTTTCACACACTGTACCCATGTGGGGAATCAAACCTGGGTCTTCAGCGTGACAACCGAATGCTGTAACCACAAGGCTACCCAACCGCTCCTTCTGTTTGAATACCGATGCACATTTAAATTCTGGGATCACACGGGTTTGACCACCTTTGACAGACAGAAAAGCTACTCTGTAAAGTGTTCTTAAGAATACATGGTCTTCCGTGTGTTTTTCTGTGCACATTGTTCTTTAGGGATCACAATAATAACAATTAGTAATGACAAATTGAAAAGCAGAATATAAATCTTGACAAATATCAAACGCATGATTCACTGACATTCAGTGAGAAGTAAGCAAATTGTTGCGTTGCATTGATTAGGCAACTATCACACAGAGGAGACCCATCATTGAGACCCAGTTCTGGATATAGATACAGTGTGTGTATTTCTGAAAGGTTAACACTCAATTAGTTGTAATGGAGTTAGATGCTGATGGCATTACAACACCATGGCATAGTGACATGGACTAGAATGTTGTCATGCTGTGGGAATAACATGGAACCTGGCCTGGTTTTTGGGAAAAGTTCAAACAATGTCATCGATGCCTTCTGTCATCAGCCTGCAAGATTGTAAAATGTGATTGTGTATTCACAGCCTAAGGCATTCCTTTATATTTTTCAAAACCAGTAAAGAGGACAATCAGAGGATTTGAAAGAAATTGAGTTTGTAGTTTGTCTTGCTTGAACAAGATTTCTTAATTTGTCTAGACTATTCAATAGATGGTTACTGAGGCATTGCTGGTTGCTGGTCCATGGCTCCATCTTGCACAAACTTTCATGGCTCCTCACTATATATATAAGTAATAGCTCCATGTTGCATATGGTACATTGCTCCTCACTATAAGTATCTTGTTTCAGTGGTACACACAGATACATTGCTCCATGTTGCACATGGTACATTGCTCCTCACTATAAGTATCTTGTTTCAGTGATACACACTGGTCCATGGCTCCATCTTGCACAAACTTTCATGGCTCCTCACTATAAGTATCTTGTTTCAGTGGTACACACAGATACATTGCTCCATGTTGCACATGGTACATTGCTCCTTACTCTAAGTATCTTGTTTCAGTGATACACACTGGTCCATGGCTCCATGTTGCACATGGTACATTGCTCCTCACTATAAGTATCTTGTTTCAGTGGTACACACAGATACATGGCTCCATGTTGCACATGGTACATTGCTCCTCACTATAAGTATCTTGTTTCAGTGGTACACACTGGTACATTGCTCCATGTTGCACATGGTACATTGCTCCTCACTATAAGTATCTTGTTTCAGTGGTACACACAGATACATTGCTCCATCTTGCACATGGTACATTGCTCCTTACTCTAAGTATCTTGTTTCAGTGATACACACTGGTCCATGGCTCCATCTTGCACAAACTTTCATGGCTGCTCACTATAAGTATCTTGTTTCAGTGGTACACACTGGTACATGGCTCCATGTTGCACATGGTACATTGCTCCTCACTATGAGTATCTTGTTTCAGTGGTACACACAGATACATTGCTCCATGTTGCACATGGTACATTGCTCCTCACTATAAGTATCTTGTTTCAGTGATACACACTGGTCCATGGCTCCATCTTGCACAAACTTTCATGGCTCCTCACTATAAGTATCTTGTTTCAGTGGTACACACTGGTACATGGCTCCATGTTGCACATGGTACATTGCTCCTCACTATAAGTATCTTGTTTCAGTGGTACACACAGATACATGGCTCCATGTTGCACATGGTACATTGCTCCTCACTATAAGTATCTTGTTTCAGTGGTACACACTGGTACATGGCTCCATGTTGCACATGGTACATTGCTCCTCACTATAAGTATCTTGTTTCAGTGGTACACACAGATACATGGCTCCATGTTGCACATGGTACATTGCTCCTCACTATAAGTATCTTGTTTCAGTGGTACACACTGGTACATGGCTCCATGTTGCACATGGTACATTGCTCCTCACTATAAGTATCTTGTTTCAGTGGTACACACAGATACATGGCTCCATGTTGCACATGGTACATTGTCCTTCACTATAAGTATCTTGTTTCAGTGATACACACTGGTACATGGCTCCATCTTGCACAAACTTTCATGGCTCCTCACTATAAGTATCTTGTTTCAGTGATACACACTGGTCCATGGCTCCATCTTGCACAAACTTTTATGGCTCCTCACTATAAGTATCTTGTTTCAGTGGTACACACTGGTACATTGCTCCATGTTGCACATGGTACATTACTCCTCACTATAAGTATCTTGTTTCAGTGGTACACACTGGTACATTGCTCCATGTTGCACATGGTACAATGCCCTTCACTATAAGTATCTTGTTTCAGTGGTACACACTGGTACATGACTCAATGTTGCACATGGTACATTGCTCCTCACTATAAGTATCTTGTTTCAGTGGTACACACTGGTACATTGCTCCATGTTGCACATGGTACAATGCCCTTCACTATAAGTATCTTGTTTCAGTGGTACACACGAGTACATGACTCAATGTTGCACATGGTACATTGCTCCTCACTATAAGTATCTTGTTTCAGTGGTACACACTGGTACATTGCTCCATGTTGCACATGGTACAATGCCCTTCACTATAAGTATCTTGTTTCAGTGGTACACACTGGTACATGACTCAGTGTTGCACATGGTACATTGCTCCTCACTATAAGTATCTTGTTTCAGTGGTACACACTGGTACATTGCTCCATGTTGCACGTGGTACAATGCCCTTCACTATAAGTATCTTGTTTCAGTGGTACACACGGGTACATGGCTCCTGAGGTGTTGCACAAGGGAACTGCATATGATTCCAGCGCTGACTGGTTCTCCTTCGGCTGCATGCTCTACAAGTTACTCAAAGGGTAGGTGTCGCCCAACTTCATTGATAGATCAATGATGAATAGGACATTGTCTTTATACTGTCAACCAGTGGTTGGAATGTGTTTCTTCTTAGTCTATCATGTTACATTCTTTATTTAGCGTTAGATTTGTTTGTTGTTCAGCGCTGCACTCAGCAGTATTCCAGCTGTATGGCAGTGTTGTGTAAATAATCAAGTTTGGACCAGACAATCCAGTGATCAACATCATGAGCATCGATCTACACAGATGATGACATATGTCAACCATATCAGCAAGCCTGACCAACAAGCATGCAATTGAATATTAACTCCCCAAATTGCACTAAAATTATGTGTTTTATATTCCTTTCAGACACAGCCCCTTCAGACAACACAAGACCAAAGACAAGCATGAGATTGACCGTATGACAATGACCATGGTGTGTGATTGGCTGAAAAATGTAGCTACATGTAGTCTCACTGATTGATTCATAGTGCACTGAGTTATGAGGGAACACAGCTGTAACACAACACAACACAACACAACACAAACAGTACAAACAATAAAAGACATTACAAAACAACAATACAAAAAACCCAAACCCAAACGAACATCACACTGTTAAATTCAAACACAGTTTTAAAACATGACAAATTTGGCCATCTGAGTCAACTTATACTCCACAGTCTCCAAATATTAATTTCCGTAGAATGTAATGTGTTAGGATCTGGCTTAGTGACTGAAATCACAAAATACAGTATGGTATTATTTATGTAGACATTCTTTGAGAGGTCCAGCTGTAATTCGTGCCCCATGTGTAATCATCTGCCCCTGTTGTTGTAGAATGTGGAGCTCCCTGACTCCATGTCCCCAGAGATGAAGAGCGTGCTCGAGGGCTTGCTGAAGCGAGATGTTGAAGAGAGACTTGGATGTCGAGGACGTGGGTACGCGAGTTTCTGTTTAAGACAAGCAGGATTTACCCATGCCTGTAACAATATCAACCTTTCAGATTGGACTGACTGAGTTTGGTTTTACGCCGCTTTTAGCAATATTCCAGCAACATCACGTCGGGGGACACCAGAAATGGGCTTCACACATTGTACCCATGTGGGGATTCGAACCCGGGTCTTCGGCGTGACGAGCCAACGTTTTAACCACTAGGCTACCCCACCGCCCCTTCAGATTGGATGGTCACCTAGGTTGAGGATTGAATGGCAACTATGTCAGCCATGTGTAGATATCAGTTTCAGTGTGGCCATTGATAGTGTGATTGCCAAGAGCCTGAAAACTCTTTGTAGTCAAAGTATAGATGAGTAAACTGGATTTGTGTTTAGAGTGACAGGAATACACAGGTTATATATTTCACATGCTTTATCAACACAGTACATTGTATAGGATTATTGATTAGAGGTGGTGAGATGGTTTGATGATGGATATGGTGAAGACCATACCTGGTGTACCTTGCAAGAATTGTACAAGAGGCAGTGTAAATCCATGCTCACACAAGGCACAATGAGACATGTACCTCAATGCTAAACCCAGATCACTCACTCACCCAGTATAGTCAGTACATAGTGAAGGATTATGTAATAAGCATTTGAGGAAGGTATGTCGTGTCCCAGACTGTCATAAGGGAGGTAACTCTTGCGTCACTGTCCAACATTTGTATAACCATTCCAGCCAAGACTGACTGAGTTTGGTTTTACGCCGCTTTTAGCAATATTCCCGTAATATCACGGCAGGGACACCAGAAATGGGCTTCACACATTGTACCCATGTGGGGTCCAATGTGAAGATACATTTGTCATGGCCTAATATGTTGTGTTGCAGGGCTCAAGAGGTGAAGGAACATCCATTCTTCAAGGGAATTGACTGGACCCAGGTGTATCTGCAGAAGTACCCACCACCTCTCATACCCCCTAAAGGGGAGGTCAACGCTGCAGACGCATTTGACATTGGATCCTTTGATGAAGAGGACACTAAAGGCATCAAGGTGAGATGCACACCTGTCTGTGAGAGAGTGAGTGAGTTAATATTTAACGTCACATCAGCAATATTTCAGCCATATCCTGACGAGGTCTGTGAGAGACACTGAGTGGGTTAGTTGGGCTTAACACTGCAACATCCATATAAGCTGAGGTTAGGTTGTGAAGACCTAGGATGTTATTAGGAATATTTGATGGGTTTATTTTCATTTACTAAAAAATGTTGAGCTTATAAAGAGCTTTGATTGAATGTCACATTGTGTAGTGATCCGCAAAGAACAGATCTGACCTTGACCTTTTCAGCTGACTGAAGCTGACCAGGGCCTGTACCAGAATTTCCCGTTGGTCGTATCCGAGCGCTGGCAACAGGAAGTGGCAGAGACTGTGTTTGACGCCATCAATGGGGACACAGACAAGATTGAGCAGAAGAGGAAACAGAAACCTAAGATTGATGACATTGATGCCGGTAAGGCGACCGGTTAGATCAGTGGAGCCTTGTAACAGTTTCCAATAGTAATAGTAATGGACATTCATGTAAGCTCTTGAATGTGTATGCAGGGCTCCAGATGAGGGCCGTATGTACGGATATAAAATAAGCGTGATACGATAGGAAATAGTTTAGAAAATGTAGCAGATACGCACCACAGCCATGGTGAACGGTCTTAGAATCTTCTACAGACGTATTTATCTGAAAAAAGTATTGTTTTATTGTGTACTGACCTGTTTCCACAATAGTAGCAATGTTGTGGTGCATATATGAAACGAAACACAAGATTACTGATACTCCATTAAATTCCATTCAGTACTCTTATTGTTTTCCAGTACTCCTATATTGAAAAATAAGGAGTACGTACTCCTGATCATGAAAACTTATCTGGAGCCCTGGTATATCTGTCAAAGTGAGCGCCCATTGGGCAGTGTGCTGGTGGAAAGTAATTGTGTATCTGAGCAAGTGCCATTGAAGCAGGATGCTAGTAGAAATTACTTATGTTGAAGGGGGTTTTAGGGAAGCTGTTTTGTCTGTGCATCTGAGTGAGCACCCCTGTTTCAGCAGGCCCGACAGACTGTATCGTGGAGGGTGAGGTTCTCAAATTGGGAGGTCCGTTCCTGCAGACTTGGCAGAAGAAACACCTGAAGCTCTACCCCAACAGACTTGAGTTCTACCACAAAAATCGTGACAGTCAAGTGGTCCGTAGCAAAGGAGTAGAGGTTAGTAGTTAGTAGAGAGCAGTGTACCTAGCTTAGCTGGACTATCCTACTCATACGAGGTCAATACTGGCCTATTTCCTATTGCTATGGGCCCGTGAAGATCCGGGGTAAAATAGGTCTTCAGCAACCCACGCTTGCTACAAGAGGCGACTATGCTTGTCGTAAGAGGTGACTAACGGGATCGGGTGGTCAGGCTCGCTGAATTGGTTGACACATGTCCTCAGTTCCCAATTGCGCAGATCGATGCTCATGCTGTTGATCACTGGATTGTCTGGTCCAGACTCGATTATTTACAGACCGCCGCCATATAGCTGGAATATTGCTGAGTGTGGCGTAAAACTAAACTCACTCACTCATACTGCTGTGTAACTGGAGGTCAGCAGCTGGTGAATTTGAAATGTGTACACACCTTTAGAAACTTTAGATGAAGCTCAACATGCTCCAGTTGTGTGGCAGTATGGGATACTGTTTGTATGACAACTTCTCCAAGCAGCTGATATGACACCTTCAAGTCCCACTCTCTGAATATCCCTGTCAAATGTTGTGTAGCCTATTCATAACATTACTGGATGATATTACAGCTAGAGCCTTCCTCAGAAAGGTAGGCCATGCTGATGAAATAAGACAGCGGTGGATTTAATGTCGGGGTGTGTGGAGATTCCTGAGGGCTACACCATGTTTTTAAATGAAACAATATTGTTGAAAGTCCTTATTGCACCACAAGGCCAGGCCAAAAATGTTTTTAGACATGTTCATTTTCCCCATTAGTGTTCTAAAAGATGCGTGCTTGGCTTTTGTTCAGAGTGATGGTATTGAAATAAGCAGTGACACTTTTATGACTGTTTTTGCTTGTGTTGCAGCTCGTGTCCATGTTTGACATCAAGGAGGTGTATCCTGACTTTCAGAAACTGAACAAAACTGAGAACTGTATTGTGATGCAGTTGAAGAATGACCAGAAGATCATAATTACCTCACCAGTGAGTAATTGTGTTGTCAGTCTGTCCGCTTGTATGGTTCATATGTTGATTCAACAGAAATAGCTTAATGGTGGTGACTTTGGTGGCATATAAAACAACATTCAGTGATGCCGTTACATAAACACAATTAATGTTCTCATACATTTCGGGTGAACCAATGTTTTTTTCTTGTCAACTTTTGAGTGAGTGAGTGAGTGAGTGTGGTTTTACGCCACTTTTAGCAATATTCCAGCAATATGACGGCGGGGGACACCAGAAATGGGCTTCACACATTGTGCCCATGTGGGGAATCGAACCCAGGTCTTTGGCGTGACGAGCGAACGCTTTAACCACTAGGCTACCCCATCGCCCCTGTCAACTTTTGAACTTGAGACAGAAAATAATAATCAGATTTCTATTCGTACTGCTGTTGCATTCAGTTTAGGAAGAATACATGACCAAAATATTTTCACTGGTTCAAACTTGGAACTGATCTGGTAAGACAATATTTGAAATCACTAGATTGTCGATAAGCTATAGGGTATGTAAATAGTAACAAATAAGCAATATGTTATGAACATTTGGGTATGGACAACTCGATGAATATGAATAAAATATGAGGTGAGGTGAGGTGAAATTGGGTTTTACGTCGTGCTTGAGAATATTTCGCTCATATGACGACGTGCATGCATGTGTATGTGTATGTGCGGCTGCTTGTACTAGCCGAGACTTAAGCTGGTTTTATAGTGCTAGCCCACTGAGATACCATGCCGCAGTGAAGCATGAATACCCCACTCAGACACATTATACTGACTCCGAGCCGACCAGTCCTTGTTGTACCCATTAATGCCGAGCGCCAGGCAGGGACCAACAAGTACCATATTTTAATGTGTTTTTGGTATGACGCGGTCGGGGATCGAACCCGCGACCTTCCGCTCTCCGGGCGGACGCTCTAACCACTACACCACGGAGGCGGTTGAATAAAATATTCTGATTCGAAGAGTAGTGTTTGAGCAACTGGTAATGAATAAATGTGTAGTGAACAATATGACAGTAAGTGATCAGTAATATCTCTGGTTTTCAGGACCGTGTGCTGATTACCCAGTGGAAGGATGAGATCATCACTGCATACAAGACGTCTGCTCAAATCATGGCCACGATGAACAAGAAGGCAAGCAAGCTGTATGGCTCGGATCTTGTAAACAGCCCAAGTAATGAGAACTTACGCACGCCACTTGAACATCGGAACAGCAACGGAAGCTAGAGGGAGGTGGCCCTAACAGTTTCGCAATCATACTGATTTTAGTAGCAGTTTTTACATCCTGGTACTTCAGTGACATGTAGATGAGGCATTATGGGATATATTTCATCATGTGACTTGAGATATTTCATTATACATTGTAGACCATCTGGCATAATGTCATCAAATGGACAGTCAGTTCTTGAATGTGTGGAACATTCTTTCGGCAGGAGTCTGCTTGGAGAGAGAGACTGTTGTTTTCTTTGTCTCATCAACCAGTTGTTCATATATTGCAGACAGGCGATATGGACATGTTATTCCCTGCTGTATGAAATCCCAGGATATATGGGAGGTCAAGGTCGCATGGATGGCCTTTGACCTTCTTAAGCATCTGTGGTACTGACCTGTGACAAAAAGTGGTAATGTCATTCGAAATAGTTGGAGTATCCAGAAAATGAGATAGGAAGTCTATGTGGATATACAGAAGAGCAGACATTTCTTGTGTTCTGTATGGGAACAGACACGTGTTACTGGATACAGTACAAGAGGAACACCACAACAGCGTTACAAAAATAACCCTCACCAACAAACACAGATGTACCAATGGATAGACACGAAGACAAATCTGATTATTTCCAATCATGTCATAATATCTGTAGTAATCATCACTTAGGATTGTTCACACGTATGTTATCCTGTACCTGTTGACATAGCTACCTGTGTACTATGTCAAAGTGTGAGGTCAAGGTCATATGTGTCAAGGTTAAGATCGGATGAAGTGCATATGTAGGAATAATCATACATATGAATATCAAATGTTGAGGCAAGTAGCAACCCTCCCTTTCTGTCGATGTATGTATGGACATATGTACAAGATAATCTGTAGGAGGATGAGGTGTCCTCTCTCTCTCCCAGTGTATACCTATACCAAACTTGTCTTCATTCAGAGGGTCCCTCTTCATTTGTTATGCGTATGTATCACGGTTACCACTGTGTACAGGCAGATGTTGAGAAGGGAACTCCCTTCCTGTCATGTGCCGTGCGTTGCCCTCGACTCCCAATCCTTCATAAGTAAGCCTACATGGGATGCATTCTAAGTCTTTCACAACTTCCCAACTTGTAGCGTACGTACGTTATCCGTCTTGTGACCGTCTTTTGAGCTGTGTTCTAAATGTTTACGCCAGTGACGACGTCATGGCTAGTCATCTTGATATGTGTTCAAATGTACACAATAAGATTACGTTTTCATATTTTACCGTGGTGATTCTAGTGATATATGATGTTTAGGATTTCTTAAGAGTATTACAGCTTATTGTTACATGTTGTTCTGGATGGGGCTGGACCCACTTTACTCTATGACAATTTCACTCTGTCCTCTTTGTGCACAATATGGTTGGTACACTTGAGTTATCTCCCCTTATTCTAGTGTAATGTCTGCCTGCTTGGTGCTGTTTTGAAATGCAACTTTTTTTCATTTACATCAACAAGGGATGATTCATTTGGGAACACGTTGAATTTTAGAAATTGGATCTCTTACATCTTATTACTTTTTCAAGTTGGCATGCTCTGTTAACTTGAGTCATTTTAATGATACTTTTCAATTGTTGTGCTTTGTACATAACAATGTCTGACCACGTGGATAATAATGTTACTTTTCATATATCTTTTGAACACATAGCCTAATACTGGTATTTCATTTCTCATATTTTGGTTGATGGTTAAAGTGAAAGACTCATTGTTGCTACAGTATCCAAGCCCCCTTACCAGGTGCACTGTATAGACCGGACAATACGTCATCACACTGTAGTAAATTTGTTCATTCACCTAACACTTCGCCACTGTCAGTAGAAACATCTGTGAGGATGTTGTGGATATACAATTAATGTTTCCTGATGACGTTAAGAAGCAAAGGCTCATACCATTGTGCAGGTGCTTTGTGTTGAGTTCATGTACTCTGAACCAATGCTTGCTTATGATAATTTAGAGGAAAGATTGAATGCTGATAACCTTATTCCATGGTGTTTGCTTTTTGGTGATTTCTTCAGCAGATGCTTGTTTTGGAATTGCTTTGGCTGAGGCTTGTTGGAGATTTCTTCTGCAGGCTCCTGTTAAAGAATTCCTTTTGCAGGTGCTTATTGGGATTCCTGTGTGGGCTTCTTGTTAGGGATTCCTTTTGCAGGTGCTTGTTTGGGATTCTTTTGTCAGGTGTATTTTGGAGTATTACTTTGACTGATGCTTATTTGGGATTCCCCAGGCAAGTGCTTGTGAGGGATTCCTTTGGCAAATGCTTATTTGAGATTCATTCTGATTCCTGAAAAAGCTCCAAACCACTTAGAGAGGCAACTTAACACATCTTACAGTATAGTTTGAGTCTTGCTTATGATACTATAGTACCCAACAAACAAGAACAGGGTTATATAGTCAAGTTTATATTACCTTGTGAAACAATGCTATTTGATACATACTATTGTTTCCATAGATCTGTATCAACCCAATTCTGCCATACAGATTTTGATAACATATCCAGCACTTACTGAATCCTCCTCCTTTAGATATGCACACAGGTATTGTTAGGATGTGAATCTGCAAAAACCAAAGAATAGAGACATTGTTCACTTTGATTAGTTGTACAAAGACAAGCAAGTCTGCTGGCAGATAATGTCTGTACAGAAGTATAAAGGATGAAAACCTTTTCATTAATGAATTAACATCCTATCAACTAGCACACATGCTTCAGATGCAGGTTTCAACAGAATGAGTGGTCAGTCATTGTACACTCAATAAGTTCAAAATAGAACTGGCTTGTTATACACCCACTGTGAATTTAGTAGCAATATGACCATTTATGGCTGTAAATGCAGTATAGGAAAGATTTATACAACCAGACAAGGCTGGAAGAAAGGGCTGGACATTTTATGATGAATTGCAGAGCACACAAGTTTTCTCATTAAGGATTGATTTAGCTGTGGGAAAATCACATATTAACAAACAGCAGCTTGAGGAGTATTTAAAAGGGGAAGAAAGCAATCTTTTTGGTTTTGCAAGGATTTTTTCCAGTCACTGTTACAAAACAGCATAGTTCAAGGAGCCAAACAATTTTTTAAAATTTCACAGCACCCACCATGTCAACAATGTGGCAGATACTTGGGGGGGGGTAAAACTTTTATTTTCATTCTTGTTTTTCTTCAACAATATTCCACCAAGTGTGAATGTAAAGTTTATCAAGTACACATGAGGAACATAACAGCGGAATATTCTTACTAAGGTAATATATTGTTGTGGGACACTGTAAATGGTCAATCACATTTCAGGATAATATGTATGTGATGTAGGCTGGTGTCAGTTTCAAAATATTTCCTTAATATCTGCACATCATGTTTCCTTGTACACCCGACACCTGTTCTGAGGTCTGTGACAATGTTTGCCTCTCTACTTGTAGACATGACAAGTCTATTGCTGGGCTATTGGTGACCAAAGGTTGATTACATCTCTGTAATTATACCTTAGAGTTTGACCGGGTGAGCCAGATTCAGAACAAGAAGAATTCAAGATGGTGTTCTAAAATTGTAAAAAATGTTTGCAAGGCATAAATATGCTGCCTGAGCAAGTCTGCAGAATATGTTGTATTGCCAGGTTTAATGTTGGTGAATGGTCGATTCCTTAGTAAATTAAATTTTGGTTTCGTGATTGACTCCAAGTACTTGTGAAGTACCAATATTGATACATTTTTGGTTGATCACTGGATTGTCTGGTCCAGACTCGATTATTTACAGACCGCCGCCATATAGCTTGAATATTGCTGAGTGCGGTGTAAAACTAAACTCACTCACTCACTCACACCAGTTTTGGATTGACCAAATTTGACTAGAAATTAACTAGTGTTGAAGGAAGCCGTCACAGCAATACACATGTATAACTATAGCTTATACTCTGTAGGTAATGGATGAGCACTATCATAGAGGACAACAATCATACCTATCATCTGTTGCTTCAACTCGAGGTTACTGACATAGGTCACTGGTCACCCTTATTAACAGACAGATGTCAAGGTCATTGATTGACCTCAAAGGTCATAAGTGATTATCAGGTTGAAGCCTTCATCAGGTTCAGTAGGTTTAATGAGTAAGAGGAGAGAGACCAAGATGTACCAAAGGACATGTTTGGATGCCCAGCATGGACACAGCTGCCGTGCCCGTGAAGTCATAATACAGTATTTTAACTCAGTCCTGCCGACCCCATACTTTTACTCCATGTTACTGTTATACATACCTATGGCAGGGATCATCTCAAAACAGCGCGTGCTCATTTTAAGTGTATCGTTTTATCAAATATTTCATAACTTTAGTGTGGAAATCAAGGGTGGCTTTTGAGGTGATGTTTTGTTCTTTATGATTTAGTTCCTGATCTTAAGATTCACGGGCAAACCTTGAGGTTTTGAGATGACCCCATATGTTGTTTGTTTATTTTAATAGAATATTATATATTTAGTGCTTGAATGTGAGGTCTTTGTGCCCTAATTTTTAATATGTCAACTCCTTTCCTTATGCCTCTGTTTAGAAATTAATGTGACACTAAATTGTTTGGGAACTCATCTCACAAATATTTCTCTGGATAATTCCATGTTGAGCTGTTCCTTGCCAGAACAAGGGATATATTGATACCCGTGCTTGAGATATGTGGATTTGAAGTCCCTTTTTGACTGACAAGAGTGATTTTACAAATGGTCAGTTTCAAACCCTTGATGGTCAAAGTTGAGATTCGAAACAAATCCACATCGTTGAAATTCTGTTGACCACACACCAGCAATGACAACTTTTATTCTCATAAAGAACAACAATGATGTGCATCACTTATTCAAGCCTAAACCTGTCTTATCCAGCAGGTAGCACTGGATAATACCGGTTTGGACCAGTTCATAGCTTCTCTACATCAGCATATAATTGTGTAGTTGAAGGTCTTATGTTTTATTGTTGCCATGACAACCAAACCTTCACACCAAAAGTATGTTCTACTAGTCAATCTTGTCCTATTCTCTTTCATATTGAATGAAGAACTAGAGGCCTTCAGCCTTTCAGTTATTCTAGGAAGTTTTCAGTGCTCCACAGAGTCCTCAAATGATCGCTGAAACTTCTTTGGTGTATTTGACAGTATGGTGATAGTGTTCTTCAATATGCAATTGCATAATATTATTGTTGAAATCCATTTGATTTTTTGAGAACTGTTCCCCATCCTTGTTATGTTACAATTTTACAAACTACCTTTGTCTTATACTTTTCAGGTAAGTGTTTGTGTGTACAGTGCTTCTGTGACTAGGTGTCTGGTCCGACATATCATCGCATCTCAGTAGTTCTGTGTGGTATCACCAGATTGTTTCCGAGGCCTCTCCTGCCTCGGGCGTGTACATTGCTCAATCAGGTTATTATTGTCATATTCTTTCCTCAATAGCTGCAACATATAGTGAGGTGGCAAAGTCTGCAAAATATATGAATTCTTAATCTTCTCTTTGGGGGGAGGGGGACCCGTGAAGATCCGGGTAGAATAGGTCTTCAAACCCATGTGCTTGCCAGGTTATTATTATCGGGATCGGTGGTCAGTTTCCTCAATATCGGTTCCCAATGCAATCAATGCTCATGCTGTTGATCACTGGATTGGGTCCAAACGTCTTTACAGACCGCCATATAGCTGGAATATTGCTGAGTGCGGCGTAAAACTAAACTCACTCACTTTGGGGAGGGGAATAGCAACACATGATTGTGTAATGCATTTTACTTTGTAAAGTTCAATCCCTGATGTCCGAGGGTAGGAGATCAGTTTGAATACTTGACATGGTAGCCATATGATACAACACACTGTATCATTCATGACTGAAAATAACCCTAGGGCATTTGGAATTGTATCTTTTAGATTATCATGAGAAATACTTTGTTCTTTGTAACCACTTCAGCTTTTGTGGGAAGAAAACATCTGTTCCCTTATAATATTCAATATAATGATTTTGTTTGCTCATCAAGATGTAAAATATTTGATTTAGCTGCCAGTGCACTTGCAGGTTACTATAGAAACATATCCCTTAAATATTTATTTGAAATAACGTGTCAAGACACTATTCATTTGAATATTGGCAATTTTTATGTCAATAATTCACTTTCCTGTGTAACATATTTTTGACAACAAATCGGGTAAGGATCTTGTTGCTAAGCAGCAAGAAACATCTGGGAAGGTGATATCATGCTTCTAGTCATTATGATATCATTGCACCTCCTAGCAACCAGATTAATCCTTCTCAAAGCAACGAGCAACATTGTATGGTTAGTTTTGTACAGAGTGAGTAGAGGTAATTAAGTGAATGTATGACTAATATATGCTTCATTAGCTCCAGAAACTTCTCCATTGTCAGGCTGTCTGTGTTGGCAGTGTCTATATATGTATTGTGATAACATTTCCCTCTTCATAGAAATAGATGTCACTGCATCCATTCTGTGTACCACACAAATGACGTTCATGGTTTCACTACAAGGCATGAGATGACAACCACTTAACACAGTGTTATGATGTCGTTCATGGTTTCACTACAAGGCATGAGATGACAGTCACTTAACACAGAGTGTTATGATGACGTTCATGGTTTCACTACAAGGCATGAGATGACGCTCATGGTTTCACTACAAGGCATGAGATGACATTCATGGTTTCACTACAAGGCATGGGATGACAACCACTTAACACAGAGTGTTATGATGACGTTCATGGTTTCACTACAAGGCATGACATGACAGCCACAGTAGTGTTATGATGATGACAACACACAAGGCAGAGTGTTATGATGGCGTTCATGGTTTCACTACAAGGCATGAGATGACAGCCACTTTTCACAGTTAGTTCATGGATGATGATGGTTGATGTTCACGGTTCAAGGCATGAGATGACAGCCACAGTAGTGTTATGATGACGTTCATGGTTTCACTACAAGGCATGAGATGACAACCACTTAACACAGTAATGTTATGATGACGTTCATGGTTTCACTACAAGGCATGAGATGACAACCACTTAACACAGAGTGTTATGATGACGTTCATGGTTTCACTACAAGGCATGAGATGACAACCACTTAACACAGAGTGTTATGATGACGTTCATGGTTTCACTACAAGGCATGAGATGACAACCACTTAACACAGAGTGTTATGATGACGTTCATGGTTTCACTACAAGGCATGAGATGACAACCACTTAACACAGAGTGTTATGATGACGTTCATGGTTTCACTACAAGAAATGAGATGACAACCACTTAACACAGTAATGTTATGATGACGTTCATGGTTTCACTACAAGGCATGAGGTGACAACCACTTAACACAGTAGTGTTATGATGACGTTCATGGTTTCACTACAAGGCATGAGGTGACAACCACTAAACACAGTAGTGTTATGATGACGTTCATGTTTTCACTACAAGGCATGAGGTGACAACCACTAAACACAGTAGTGTTATGATGACGAGGGAAGCAGTAGTTTTCAGACATACCGAGTGACAGTGTTTTGCAAAATATCATATTTGGAATTTTTATATTTAAAATAATCAGCAACAAGCAGTATTGGTATGGCTATTTTTAAGGACCTCCTCTACTTGCTAAGATGAGTAGACTGTCTACTTTTGAATATTTTCTTATGTGTTGCCACTCTGTTGTTATAATAGGCTTTTCTTGAAAACACTTGAGAGGACGTGTGAACAAATTTTACTGGAGGCCGTAATATACTAGCAAAACCTGCCTTTTCCGAATAATCCATTTTGAAGGGAAATGAATAGGACTCTTTACAGAAATGAATTATATGCAACTTGCATGATGAAAACACCTTAAAAAGATTAAGTTAAAAGAAAGTGTTTGGTTTTACGCCACTTTCAGCAGTATTCGTGCAATATCATGGCACTGAATATCAGAAATTGGCTTCACACTTGGTGCCCATGTGGGGACCAAAAAGTAGACAATTTGGCTATTGCTATGATTTACAGATACACCAACAAATGTATTTATCCAGTCAGTTGGAGGGTTAAAATTTGTTCACCTGACCAAAAAGGGCAATCTTTGTTTCAAGGAATCTCTTTTTGCACATGAAAAGCCAATTCCCTCCAGATGTCTAATTGTTGTGATACGTAGTGGAGGTGTCCATCTCATTACTCTTAATGCGAGATATTTGGGTTGGAATACAAGACTTCTAGTAATAGACCTATAAGTGTTCAGAAATAGTCTCGGCTCAAAAGGGGTTTGAGATGGCCATATCTGAAATGTAATGTCAAGTGTTTCTCCTATGCCCTCTGTATTGCCTATATAGAAGAATGCCTTAAAATGTAGTTTTCCAGTTTTCTTTCTCTGAGTTTATTGAACAGAGATGATATTTATCAAATTAATGTGCTGTTCCATGGTTTAATGTTACAATATTAAATCAAGAGCAGTACAAGAGAAGTTGAAGGCTGTACACATTCATCAATATTTATTTTATAAATGTACCGTAAATATTATTCAATGAAATGATTCAGCACTGTAAATTTCATTCAAGGAATCTATAACTTTCATAGCTCAACAAATATATATGGCAAATATATATAAGTTTCTTTTACAAGGGTTCAAGTACTTTCTGTCACTTAAAAGAAACTGTGATTTAAATGCGTCTCAATTTTCTTATTGGATCGAGTATTTTCATTCATGGTAAAGAAACTTTAATTAAAATTTGTCTCATTTAATATCAGGTGCTACTGAACTCACCCAACTTACAGTCAGTCAGTTTCTAATTCTGAATTGCTCTCCTGATGTTGAAGGATGTACATTTGTGATTGTGCAATATGTTTCACAGTTTTTTGTCACATAAGTTATGATATGTAGGCTGGGAACTAGTTTATCTTTGCCATATCTGATTAATTTCAATGTTTTAGATGTTGTAAATCTTATGAATATTTATTGTTGCGAAGAAACTCTGCTAAAGTCACTATTTTGTACTAACAAGGGTTTAACTTGCCAAAGGTAAATTGTCTATGAAGTATTTTTGCAACTGATATTGCAAGAAGACTTAACAAACAGGTAAGAGGATGATCTACATGCAAGAATACTGCCTCTATCAGTGATGTAATTTAAGTTTTCATCTCCGAAATGTGCTAGTCGTGTTGATGAATAGAGACAGACGAACATGCATTGAATGTGAAACAAAATCTCATCAATTTTCTTTTATGTAGATTTGTTGAATTTAAGGTTAAGCTTTTATAACAAATTTTATTTTAGCAGCTGTATGTCTACCTATTCTAGGAGTAATGTCTAGAAATACATGAGTCATTTTCATTGTGTATTTATGATTGTATACATCTGGGCTGCTGGCCAAATGTAGCCAGACTTTGTACTATATTCTTCTATTTAATGCTTATGTCCGATGTGTGATATTGTTTATATGCTATGAGTGGACTTACTTAGCCATTTTACAAAACCTGTCATGACGCAGACCATTTTTTAACTGTATATGTGTGGAAAATTAAGACATGCCAATATTTGTAATTATTTGTACATGAAAAGCTAGGCCACTGTATGTATATAAAGCAAAGAAAATCTCTGTGTTATTACGAAGAATCTCATTCTTTGATAAATTATTATGATTTGATGCACAGTCATTTCAGGATCAGGTCACTCAGGGGAGACAACTGTGTAATAAGTTCTCCCAGGTGCCGTTTCAGTATTAGAGTCACGTCCCTTGAGGCACGCTCAGTACTGTTGGTACCTGAAATGGCTGTGCAAACCCTTGCTTCAGTTTGTGTGAATTTCACCTTTTACATATTGTGATGGCATTTTGCAGGTGGCTCTCCACACACAACTGAAGGTCGTAATAAACGAAAATTTCTGACATCGAACTTGTCTTGTTGTCTTGTCTCGGGAATGAGGTCTGAGTTCAAGTCAGTGGAACTAAGCAGCATAGGGAACCAGCATACTGGACCTGCTCTCAAGCTATAAGACTTGACTGGCAAATATGACAAATTTGTCAGTAAAATATACATGTGGCACAACCAAAAGATACAATATATTTTTACACAACATTGAACAGACCCAGATTGCTTTGTACTAGAGGAATGAGTGATTTACAAATAGACAATCATTTACAAGTCCACCTCCCTATTCCTTACTTTCGGAATACCATGAGAGGTGCGCATGCGCATAGGAATCAATATGTGTGTTTATAAGAATCGGTTAGTATCAGAAGTTTTCGACTGAGTTGAATATTGTGAATATCTTCAGTGTTTTGGTGTTTCGAAGGACATGCTACGAGGATAGTGTGCAAGAAGTTCTTCGGAGGCGGTTCATTGAGTTTTATGGACAGTGTTATCCAAGTTTAGCTACTAAGCTATCTGACCTATACGGCCGCGGGTCGTGGTCTGTTCGTCTGAATTGACCAATATGGCGGTGCCCCGCGCGGCAGACAAATAACTTAGCGATGAGGTCGTGAAGACGACACGCCACAGAATTTTTCAACTGGCAGATACATTGGCATCTCCAACAGTGGATAACAGTGCTCCCGGTGGGAGAGAAACTGGCAATAACCTGAGAACAGCGGAAATTTCAGGCGTTGGCACTACTGAAAGTAGTCAAAGTGCCTTGTCAGCCAATTTGTTGGAGCCAGAGATGGAGAAGCCCACACGGGCAGGAACAGGTACGTCTCTCCTTGACGCTATGTTAATGTCTATGACTTGATGATGAAGCATCAACAACAACAATCAGATGTGATGCAACAGATTGGCTCGACATTGGCCGATGTCAGTCAGAAATTATCAGGCAGATCACCACAGGTGACAGGAACTTCCAAAGTTTTACGGGACTCTCCGAGTGGATCCGGAAGTAAACAAAGCGGCCATGACGGGAAGGTCAGTGTAGATGGTTACTCCGATGTTTCGGAGGATGAGTATGATGGCCCAGATTTTATTGATCAGATTGTGTCCAAATGCTCACAACAGGGTGACGCTTCCCCAGACGATGTTCATGACGATATTGATGACGTAAATAAACTTGTCACAGAACTCCGAGACTTTTTTGGTGATGACGAAGAAACGTCAGATATGAGGATTCACGACGACTTGTCTTAATCGGTCGATGAGGGATTTCTAAAACCCCCTAAGCTGGGAAAACTGAAGATTCTAATGGACAAATACAAACGACCTCGTAACTGTGAGGCACTACAGGTTCCCAAGGCAAATGAAAAAAATTGGGGACAGGCCAAAGGACATACTCGGACCAAAGATATAAAGTCTCAACAAGCCCAAGGCCTTATGATAAAAGCCATGATCCATCTGGTGGGACTGACTGATGAACTGATGAAATCGGTGTTAGAGAAGAAAGATCTCAACATTAAAACAGTAATACAGCAAGCCACAGACGCCATTCGCCTTTTAGCAGAGGCACATGCTGAAATCAATATCAAGCGGAGAGAAGGTTTTCCACAAGATCTGAGTGGACCTTATAAGAAACTATGCACTACTACAGCCACATCTACTTGTTTGGGGATGATATCAACAAACAGATCAAAGACATCACTGACGCTACCCAAATAGGGAAGAAAATTTCTCAAGATCGGGGAAGGCAGAAATCTTACAGCATGTTGAGTAGTGGACACACATATGAACCTTACAATACCTTTGATCAAAGACATAGGTTCCGCTCTGGGAAGTTCATGCCAGGCAGAGGGGGGAAAGCCAGATTGAGGACGAGGCAACAACAGCAACCAACAGAGTCATTTTTTGCACAAGCGACCCAGAGACCTGCCCAGGAAATAGCAACAGGACACTCCACTGGAGAGGATAGCAATCAGGTGGGAAACAGTGTTTCTAAATTAAAGAATACCCTGCTCAATTTTCAAGCAGGAAAAACTCAATACCATTTACGTAAGTGGGAAATGCTCACTTCTGACAAATGGCTTCTCAACTGTGTGACAGGTGTGAATATTGATTTTACTGAGTTGCCTAAACAACACTTTGTGCCTAAACCCATTCTGTTTCAAGGCAGTGAATGGATACAGCTTAACCAGGAGATAGAAGCTACGATACATAAGGGCTTTATTGAAAGGTGTGATCATTTGGAAGCGGAATATATTTCTAATATTTTCACAAGAGTCAAGAAAGATACTTCCTTGAGAAATATTTGAATCTTAAGTCACTCAATAACATTGTTGACACACATCACTTTAAAATTGAGGCGCTTAAGTCAGCACTTTATCTATACTACCCATCAAAAGTTTAGACTCACTAGTGTAAATGTAGCCACTTACTTGTCCACTGTTCTAAACTAGCTTTTTGCAAAATATTCCATACTGTTTAAAGGTACTGTTTAGTTATGAACTGGTGTATTGTAAAACATATTCGTAACATTGAAAAGATTATTGTCATGAGTTCAGTAAATGATTAAAATCTGTGAAAATTGGCGAATTCTTAACAAAACTTTACACCAAAACGCATCTGTTCACATGCACGACATTTGCTCATGCCTTTCGCAATTTGAAGCATCATCCTTGTGCAATTCATCTGCATAAGGTTTTCAGTTGGTTCCCCCAAGTTGGTGGAGAAATTCATCTTCGACGTAACCACATACATATACATAACATATAGTGAGTGCTTTAAGTGAGTCTAAACTTTTGATGGGTAGTATAGTTCACAAAGATTGTTATTTTGCCTCTATTGATCTGAAGGATGCCTATTTTTCCATTCCAATAAATAAACATGAGAGGAAATATTTACGCTTCTACTGGAATGATGTACTCTACCAATTCACTTGTATGCCTAATGGACTTGCTTCTGCGCCCCGAATTTTTACCAAGTTACTAAAGCCAGTGTTTGCCACCTTGAGGGAGCAGGGTTTTTCAAATACTTCCTACATTGATGATTCATTGCTAGTTTGGGAAGATGATCAAGATTGTGTTGATAATGTGCACTATACAACACTGCTGGATAGTTTAGGTTTTACTATTCACCCCGACAAATCTGTTTTTGTGCCGACCAAGCAGATGACTTACTTAGGTTTAGTGATCAACAGTGGGACAATGACAGTGACTTTGACTAGAGAGAAAACTGAGAAGATAGTATAAACCTGTTCAGAAGTATTAAAGGCCAAAGTTATTTCTATAAGAGAATTGTCAGCTCTTATTGGGCAACTGAATGCAAGCACCTTTGGAATGAAGCATGCTCCGCTTTTTTATAAGAGATTGGAGATTTTCAGAAACAGAAGTCTCAAAACGGCAAAAGGGAGCTTCGATGGATTAGTTGAACTTGATCAGTTATGTAAAGATGATCTAATTTGGTGGATAGAGAATGCAGGAAATTCCCCTCAGCCTATACAGCAAACGCAGCCAGACTTAACAGTTATGTCAGATGCTTCAAAAACAGGTTGGGGTGGGGGAGGGGGTGGGGTGTGAGTGATGAGAACAGGACAGGTGGGCTTTGGACCAAGGAAGAAAGTGAAAAGCACATAAACTCTTTGGAACTTTTTGCTGCTTTTCTAACTTTGCAATTATTGTGCTCACGACAACAGAATGTGCATATACGACTTTACTGGACAACACTACAGCAGTATCTTACATTAACAATATGGGAGGCATCAAAGCTAGTTGCAATGACATTACTAGAGACATGTGGCGCTGGTGCAAGAAGCGGAAGATCTGGATATCAGCAGCTCACTTACCTGGGGCAGACAACACAGAGGCAGACTGGTTATCTAGAAATGTGAATGATGACATAGAATGGCAGCTTGACACTGTAGTTTTTGATAGACTATGTTGTGTGTTTGGGAAGCCATAAAGAGACTTATTTGCATCTAGGTTGAACAAACAACTTGACCGTTATGTATCATGGTGCCCCGACCCAGGGGCAGAAGCTGTGGATGCATTTTCCTTGTTCTGGGGACAATCTTACGAATATATTTTCTGCCCTTTCAGTGTTATCGGACGGGTTCTGCAGAACAGGAAGAGGCAGATGTGTTGATTATAGCACCAGTATGGCCAACACAGTTTTGGTTCAGCAGGCTGCTAAACTTACTGACAGACTGTCCAAGGCTGCTGCCAAAGTCAAAATACCTTCTAAGGTTAGCAAACCAACCCGACAGGCAACATTCACTCCAGTGAAAGCTGAAACTTGCAGCATTCAGACTATCAGGGAAGGACTACAGGGTCAAGGAATACAGGAACCAGTTGCAGACATTATTCTGTAATCATGGCGCAATTTACCCACAGACAATATGGGACATATTTCCGCAAGCGGTTGTTATGTTGCACGGCAAAGGACATCAGCCCCATTTCACCACCTCTGGGCGAAGGACTAAATTTGCTGCAGGAGCTCTTTGCTCAAGGACTAAGCTATTCTGCAGTTAACACTGCACGGTCTGCTTTATCAACAATGGCATTGGTTGACAGTGTAAAGTTTGGACAACACCCATTGGTGATCAGATTCATGAAGGGCATTTTCAATCTTCGACCCGCATTGCCAAGATACAATGTGACATGGAATGTGTCTGTTGTGCTGCAGTATTTGAGAGACCTTACAGAGGACAACTTGAAAAGTGTTACTTTAAAACTTGCTATGCTGATGGGTTTGTTATCAGGGCAACGCCTTCAATCTCTGTCATTGATAGACTGTAGGAATGTAGATGTGTTAGATAATTGTGTAAAGATAAGGTATGGTGACTTGCTCAAACAATCTAGACCTGGATACCACCAAAGTGAATTGACACTTACAGGGTTTCCTGACCCTTGCCTGTGTGTGGTCCGCAATCTGCAACGGTATTTAGCTCTGACTGAACCCATAAGGGGTGAAGAGACTGCACTTTTTATTAGTTTTCATAAACCACATCGAAGAGTTTCTAAAGATACTCTGTC